ACACCTGTTTATACAGCACTTAAATGAGCACTGAATTAAGTATTGATTGTAATGTATTGTACAGCACTTATGTATTGTACTGTATTGCACTGCTCTGTGTTTAACTCTGTTCCTTTTTCACTAGGTGTCAATGACTTTCTGATTCTAGCAGTATCTGAGCTCAGGACTGGCTTTCTCTCTAACCTATTGGTAACTAGCGAAGATACTTTCTCTGGATAGACAAAGCACTTTTTGTAAGTCGCTCTGGATAAGAGCATCTGCTAAATGATGTAAATGCAAAGGGCTTGTCGGTCAGTGAAAAATAAAAACCAAAGTAACTACAGAGACACGGTTAAGAAAACCAGGCAAAATTTCACAAAGCATTCAGAGGTGCATGCTGTGGATCAGCACTTGAATAGTGATGATGACATAGGATTAGGCAACCTGGACATTTACCAAGTGAAAGTAGACAGAAAACAACCAATATGACCCCTGAAGTAAATTGGACAACTGTGAAAATGGAACGAGATACTGGCTCTGCTGTATCTGTCATTTCCCAGAGTGAATTTGAGCAATGTTTCAAGGGCACGGCACTGAAGCCATCTGATATCCACCTGAAGACTTACACAGGAGAAAGGATCACATCAGTGGGTGTCGTGCCTGTGAATGTGAAGTACCAGAATCAACAGAGTATGCTGAATCTGTATGTAGTCAAATCATATGGACCAGCACTCTTTGACCGAGATTGGCTGACACAAATACAGTTGGATTGGAGATCTATCCACAGCATGTGCACCATCCCCTCCACAGAGGTGTCCACAGAAACAGAACTACAAAAGGTCCTGGAAAGTGCAGCAGATGTTTTCCAAGATGGAATAGGCACACTCAAGCACATCAAGGGCAAAATTGGTCTGAATGAAAATGCATCACCAAAATTTCACAAGGCTAGACCCATTCCTCACTCCATAAGAGAAAAAGTAGCAAGGGAGTTGGATCGTATGGTAGCGGAAGAAATTTTGTCAAAAGTGGCCTGGAGCCCATGGGCAACGCCAATAGTACCTGTAACCAAGAAAAAAGGAGCTGTTCGAGTGTGTGGAGATTTCAAAGTTTCCATTAATCCTGTGCTAAAGGGGGAGCAATACCCACTTCCCAGAATTGATGACATTTTTGCAAATCTATCTGGAGGGCAACATTTCTCCAAGATTGACTTGGCTGAGGCTTATCTCCAAATGGAAATAGAGGAGGAATCCAAGGTGTATCTTACTATAAACACACACAAGGGCCTCTATCATTTCAATAGGCTTGTTTTTGGTATCGCATCAGCACCAGCACTTTGGCAGAGGGCAATGGATCAGGTGCTTCAGGGCTGTCCGGGCACGCAGTGTTACTTAGATGACATTGTGACAGGAGAAAATGCACAGAAGCATCTTCAGAACCTAAAAACAACGCTGGCAAGGCTTGCGGAGTATGGACTGAGGGCTCGTCGTGACAAGTGCGAGTTTTTCAAGCCCAGTATCGCTTACCTGGGGCACACCATTGACGCACAAGGGCTGCACAAATGCACAGAGAAAACCCAGGCTGTCGTACAGGCTCCATGACCAAAGGACGTGCCACAGCTGAGATCCTTTTTAGGATTTGTCAGTTATTATCACAGATTTCTTCCCAATCTGGCCATGGTCCTTCATCCCCTTAACAGTTTGCTTCAAGTAGGCAGGGAATGGAACTGGACTAAACAGTGTGATGAAGCCTTTCAAAAAGCAAAGAACATGGTGACATCAGATACTGTGCTCACACATTATGACCCAGAGCTACCGCTGAAACTTGCATGTGATGCCTCAACCATATGGAATCGGTGCAGTCATGTCTCATGTCATGAGTGATGGAAGTGAACGCCCAATCGGCTTTGCATCCCGGTCACTTACAGCGGCAGAGAAAAATTACGCGCAGATAGACCGTGAAGCACTGAGCCTTGTCTGGGGAGTCAAACATTTCAATCAGTACCTGTTTGGTAAAGAGTTTACCCTTGTCACTGATCACCAACCTCTTGTGTCTATTTTTAACCCACAGAAGGGCGTACCACTTACTGCTGCAGCACGAATGCAGAGGTGGGCATTGTTCCTAGGAGGACACAGGAATAAAATTGAGTTCAAAAGGACACATCATCATGCAAACGCAGGCGGTCTGTCACGTTTACCACTGCGAAATGACACACCTGGCATGGCCACACAAGAGGCCACTCCTTGTGATATGTTTTCTTTTTCACAGATTGAGAATCTTCCTGTTACAGTAGAGATGGTCAGAAATCACACCTGAAGAGATCCCACCCTGTCTCAGGTGTACATGGCAACACTTAATGGCTGGACAGCACAACAGAAATCACAATTTAGTCAGTTCTATCAGCGTCACACCGAGCTTTCTCTTGATGGTGGTTGTATTATGTGGGGACTCAGGGTTTGTCATGCCCTCCAAGCTGAGAGCCAAGGTGTTAGACAAACTGCACACTGGCCATTTAGGCATTGATGAAGGCATTAGCCAGGAGCTTTGTCTGGTGGCCCGGTATAGACCAACAAATAGAACAGCTGGCAATGCACTGTACGGGTTGTCAACATGTTCAGAAGGCGCCTAAGTCTGCCCCTTTACATCCATGGGAATGGCCCGCACTCCCCTGGCAGAGACTCCACATTGATTTTGCCCGGACCATTTATGGGACACAATTTTCTTGTGGTAGTGGACGCCCACTCGAAATGGCCTGAGGTGTTCACCATGTCTTCTACAAAAGCCAGCGACACAATTGAAGTACTGCGAGAACTCTTTGCAAGAACTGGTGTTCCTGAAGATTTAGTGAGTGATAATGGTCCACAGTTTATAGCTAAAGAATTCCAGACATTCCTGAAAATTAATGGAATCCAACATTTGACTTCAGCACCGTATCATCCTGCCACTAATGGCTTGGCTGAACGATTCATGCAGAGTTTGAAAAATGCACTCAAAGCTGTGTCTAGTGAAAACATGACATTAAAGCAAAAACTTGCCAATTTCTTGTTTGCATATAGAAATGCTGCCCATGCGACTACTAATGATTCACCTGCAATGTTGTTTTTTTGGCCATCAGCTGCGCTCTCGTCTCGACCTTCTGCGACCAAATCTCAGACAAACTGTGCAGGGGAAACAGCTGCAACAAGCTGCAAGTGTGTGCAGAGAAACTCGTCACTTCTTAGTTGGCCAAACTGTCCTGGCAAGAGATTACAGAGGTAATCAAAAATGGATCTCTGGTACGATTGCAGCATGCACAGGACCACTCTAATACACCGTTGAAGTTGCACCTAGAGTCCTATGGAGACGACACGTTGATCAGCTAAGGAGGACACAGATGCCCATCAGTAAAAAGTCATCTGAGATGTTCATAGCGCCTCCTGCTGTTCCAGAGCTGTCTACTCCTGAGCAGTCACACACTCCAGCTACAGAGATACCCGCACCTGCTTCATCTCCAAAGCAGACTGATTGTGTTGGCAATGAAAGACGATAGGATAGGAAGCCCCCAGAACGCTTGAACCTTTAGGGGACATTCTTTATTTAAAAAAAATAAATAAATAAAACATTTTTGCATAGTGATGTTGTACATTGTGTCTTAGCAGGGAGGAGTGTTGTGTATTGTGTACCTCCCCCCTCTTGTTGTGGAACACCCGCTAAAAAGAAAAGTGAATCAGTAAAGAGTCAGACGAGCTGAATAACGCTACCTCCTTTGCCGGTCTCCTTTATTTACTAGTGTTGTGTGAAGACTCAAGAATACAAACACTACGTTTATGGTTTACATTATGAGTTCCTAACTTCACTCAGTATCGTAGCCTAAACTGTTATCTGTTAATGTTTCTTAAATGTACTAATTTAATGGGGGATAATCCACTGACATACTTTAATATACATGTTAATTTGATTCAGATGTGCTTATTATATACAAACTGATTCTTTAAATGTCTTATCCTTTAAAAGTGCATCACAACCGGTCTGTTCTGCTGCAACTCGGCCACGCTGCTAGTATTTGCTGCTAACCCCCGGGAACTGTTGAGAGGCTCTACTATCCGCCATAGCTGGAAAAAAATGGTCCATTGGAGTGAACAGAGTTGACGCAACTCTCTCTCTATACGGCTCTGCCAGCACCCAGAGATATTATGACAACCATCTCCCAGCGTCCTATCAGCCACATGCAATACCATAGCAGTTGGTTAGCAACAAGCTAGGAACCACACAGAACACCACAGAAACCAGCCAGAAACCCTGTTGCATCCACCGGGGCCCAACCATACCATAGCAACCACCTAGCAACACCCTAGCAACCACCTGGAATACGGTGTCAACCACTTGCCAACATTCTGAGATACTGTAACAAACATCTCCCAACACACTATCAGCCACTTGCAATACCATTGCAGTCACTTAGCAACAACCTAGCAACCACACAGAGCACCACAGAAACTCACCAGAAACCCTCTTGCGTCCACCCAACCGTGCCATAGCAGCTGCCTAGCAGTCCTTTGGCAAACACCATACCACCATACCAACACCAACCATCCAGCAATACTAGGGAATTGCTTAATGTACACAACCACTGTGCCTTTTTTTCGGGAAATGCGCCTTTATAGTTGAATTATATATGTTTATTCTCTTATTTAAATTAGTTATTTATTAGATCATTTTAATTACATCATCCCCTTTTGTTTGATTATTTGATTCTTTTCTTTGATTCAAGTTTCAGTGAACTGTTATCTTGTCTTTGCGTGATATGATCTCCTTCTCCTACTGCATTTTGTCTCTGGTTTGCGGTTTACCACTTGATCTGTTGCGATAATTTAACATCTGCATTAAGCCTGCACATTACTGACAATGCAAATGTGTGGCTGCATGAGTGTTATTTCCAGAAATGGAAAGTGTGCTCAATATTCACCACAGAGCACTTCCCCTTCACTTTGAGAAGCTCCTTCAACCAACCTCACCACTGTCATACTGCATGTCTTTGTGAACAGGGCAGCAGGAGGTTGATGACCCAGCCTGTTTAGTATCGTCGTGTCACACTGGATTGTCATGATCAGGAGGAAAGCAGTCCTGGAGTTTCTGAAGACCAGCTTTAGCTAAATCTAACGGGGCACGTGTGAGGGGCCTGGTTGACAGGTTGGCTGTGCTGCTTCTGATGGCGGTCAATAACCCGTCGGGGCTGCTGGAGGCTTGTGTGGTTGTCGGAGCATCCAGAGAGAGTCTCAAGGAGTTATGCCAGGTACAGTAACTGTGATTATACAAGGATATATCAGTGTTAGATCTGAGTCCGTAGGGCTTCGCCGATATATCAGTTCTCCTGTAAGGTTATTAAATTCAATTCAATTAAAATAAAAATATTAAATTAGAGGGCCAATTAATAATATCACAGTACTTTAAGACATTTTCACGGCACATGATCTGTATTAGTATTTTGTTTTTAATAAGTTGGAACAGACAAGAAAGAACCAGTAGTCTTGCAGCAGTAGTCATATATTAAAAATCCTATTAGAAATACATTATGAATACAGTTATTTTTATTCAGCATTTCACATACTGAACTGCACTGAATCCGATTAAACAGGACAAATTGTACTTTCTTATTTAATGAAACATGCAGTTGGTCAATGTTCTTTAAGTACTGATAATATCAGGAGGGATATTGTGATGTAGTTTATGATTTTAACAATAACTATCGTAATATAGCCCACTTAGCTCAGGGCCCACCGTGTGCAACAGTGGCTGGCAGATATCATGCCTGTACAAAAGGCCACCTATCAACCACCTAACGATACCCTAGCAACCATGAAGAATACCATAGTAAGGACAGAGCAATACCCTAGCAATCACCTCCAAATATCATAGCAACCTTGTAGCAACACCGTGTCAACTACCTGAATACCATATCAACCACCTAATACCTTAGCAACCACCTGAAACATGCCATTGCGGCAGGTAGAAACTGTACCTGTACTAAAGGCTGCCTCTGTCATGGTTTCAGATAGAGCAGCTCAGGGTCACAGGAAAAACACTGTCTCAACTTTCCAACAATTGGACATCAGGCAAAACAGCCTCAGACAAAAAGACATTAGGCTAAGTGGCCTCAGACATCACAGTCTTGGATGGTCAAGTGTGTAAGGCATTCATAATTATGTCCTTTCTTACTAGATTAATTACAGTTTTGTGGCCAAATTACAAATGATACACAAATTTACTGAACAGGGTGTTTATTACGTTCTTTTATTTGACAAAGATTAAGCTTCACACACTGTCACTGTGTAGCTTCAGAGTCAAAGCCCGTCTCAAAAGTGTGTAAACGCTTTGTGCAAATATAAAAATGGAAGAAGAAAATAATCCCATTCCCCAAAGTTCCCGTTTAACCTTTATCTGCGATTATTTTTCACAGAGTTACCAGCACAGGCCTATCGCTGATGTAGGAACAAAACCTTCTGTGTCCATTTTTGTTGTTTTTCAGTTTTTGACATAATTTGAAAATGCTTGTTGTCCTTTACATTGTGTTTAAATTTCACGTTGAATGGACCAAAAGAAACAACTCAAAATTACTTGGGAAAAAGTCTGGTTCCATTGACTTACATTAAAAGTAAAGTAGGTTTTTTCCTTCTCCTGTAAAGTTACCATTTTGGAGAAACAAGGTTTTCTTCCAACAACAGTGATATATTACAATTAACAAACACCTCAAACGTAAAGAAAATTGAGGGTTTCATGTTGGCTGTTATTACATTATTATAATACAGGCAGACACAAAACACTGTCATGAAATATAATAGAGGGGAACATCTCGTAACACAAAAATTGTATATACAAAGACTTCAAATTAGAAGAAAATAACAAGAATAAAAGGTAATTTACAGAAAAACCAATAAAACCACTTTAAATTTGGGACAACTCACCTAAATTTTCCTGTTTTTCCTGTTTGCCAGTTGAGAACTGAGTCACATTTGATAATACAGCAATCATATCCACCAGTAAAGCACTGTTTAAAACTAGACACCCTTGATTTTACTGAGTATGGATTCTCAGCTGTTAGGAGGGTCTAGATTACATGTAACTCATAATGTCTAATAATACTTCTCTCTTTCTCAGGCTCAGCTGCAGGGTAAAGAGATAAAACACTGCTCTTTAGAGGCTGAGGTGTTGCAGGTTCACGCCCCACCATTTGTGAGTAAGGAAAGTGATACTGATGGTCCTGGCCACGCCCCAGCCTTCAGCAGAGTCCAAAGGAGACGCTCCTTCTTGAAGAAAAAGAGGGAGAGACCTGCTGTGTCCTCTAACAATGGAACCAAGACCAGTGATTCCACCATCAGCAAGGCAGATGATCTCAGTGTACCGAAAGACATCGACCTCAATGCTCTGCCCCAGCTGTGTTTCCCAGGTAATGCACTAGCTCTGATATCAAAGCCCTCAGTTTTTAAAGGCCCAATCCCATTTCTTCTTTTTACCCCTACCCCTTGTTTTCGAGTGTCACCCTAACCCCTTGGGACATAGTTACAATGGGTAGTGGTTGAAATCTTGCCCTACGAAATGGGACAACCCTCAAATTAAAAAAAAAACAAAAACATTGCTTCATTGACCCGGCCCGACTTCAGTGACAGCAGAGGAGGGTAAAGTTCAGCTCCTCACTGCTGGGCTTTAGTTACATTTAGAACATCCAATGCCTTCAAAGAGGGGGAGCAATTATTTATTATCTCCCACCCCTGATTTGTTGGTGATACGAAGCTGAAATCAGATATTCACCAGGTTCTTGTTTGAATTTTCCCGTTCCACCTTAAATGGTGCAGCAGTTACATTCTGGCGCTTCAGGCATCAGAACTGCGGGACTGTTTAAGGTGGAACGGGAAAGTTAGCTAGCTAGCTACTGAGACATTAGCATACTATAGCGTTTTTTTATGCTTGTTATGAAGAAAAGGACCATAATACACTGAAACAACATTAAGATAATACAATGATTATCGTGATTTTTTTAATGTTGAAAATTCTCACATTTGTGGGTTTCTTTGGTCGCTTGTTCAACCATCTTGCCAGTGAAAAACCTCCATTTGGAGGGCCATGTAGCCCTAACTCTTCCCCCTACCCCTAGACAACTCTTCCCCCTACCCCTCAACAAAAATTGGGACACCCTACCCCTAGACTTGAACGCGCAAAACAGAGGGCTAAGGGCTAAGTGGTAGGGGCGAGGGATGAAATGGGATTAGGCCAAAATGTCTAACTTTGCAGGTGAGAGGCTTTTAAAGTTGATTTATATTACCTTATTTAAATTCAGTAGCCTACAGTTCTGTGTTCTGTATTTTTTTATAATATTCTATCATATTTAATTTCTCATGGTTTAGATGGGTTGATTGTAGCCACTGAGAATCAGGAAGACTCTTATCACTTCCTGGTTTTCACGGATGTCTTTGGGAACCAGACACATGGAGTGGTGGTTCAGTTTTACAGATCCTTACAGGTGAGATTTTTGCTCTTACCTGGCTTGTACTTTGGAGTGTTTACTACTGTTTACATCTTCAGTGGAAACTCCTGGTATATTTAAGTTTGTATGCAAGCAGGCTGTGTTATTTGGGATGTATTGAGTTAAATAAATGTAATTTAATAAGACTGTTATATACAGTTCTGTGCAAAAACTATAGATGTTTAAAATTAAGTCTAAACGGCCATTAGGTAAAAGATATTCATTTTTGTAGTGTAAGAAAAAAGCAGGAAACGTATTTAAAATGTAAAAACTCAAATAATATAGTATAAAAGATAACGAAAGATAATCATCTTGCCTAAGAAGAAGGAAAGTTAATTGAAAAACAGGAGTTTCTAGTTTTTTTGTAAAAAATATCCCAGCAGATTTCTTTGAAAAACTGAATGGAAGCTGTTATAAAGGTAAAGAGTGGACAGACTGAATACTGATATTATATTTTGTGGTTGAGGCTTTGTTGTAATTTTCTTTTAAATATGACTCTGCTGCTTTTTTCCTAGTGCTGAAAATTGAATAACTTTTGAAATGTAATTGGAAAATGAAATGGTCTCTGCACATTTGAATAAATGAAAAGCTGGTCTCTCTTTTACACGGAGCTGTATTATTAGATTATATTCAAATTATTTTTTTATATATATAAAAAAAAAATAAAAATGTACCTATTTTGTGCCTTAGTTTTCCCTGGATGGTGTAACATACCAAAACGGCCACCGTTCGTCCAAACCTCCACGGCTTTACACAGCCTATGGCATCTGCATCATCTCTAAATACCCATACTACAACGCTCTGAGAGACTGCCTGTCCTCGTGAGTATCCAGCAGCTCTAATGACATGTTTGAGTTTTTATGGTTGAATAGAATTGAATGGAACCAGAATGTACAGCTGTATCTGTTATAGTATCTTCATTGTGTGCATGCTTTCGCTTTTGTCTATGATGACAGATTCCTAGTTCAGCTGAAGCCTTGCAGGATGGATGACTTTGAGGAAAAAGTAAAGGAGTTCTCTGCCAAACTGGCACTGGTGCCCATCCCACCACCTGGACAGCTGCAAGTGGTGAGCTGCTTTATTGGAAAGCTTCAGTCATTTTCTGCTGTGAATATGTTTAATCTCAGTATTCTCTCTGAATTCTTTAGGGGTTGGTCAGGAGATATCAGCCATTCACATAGACAAATATCTAAAAATCACACTTAAACCCTTTTCCACTTACCCCTTATGTAGTCGATCAGGCAAAACATGTTTGGTGTCCAAATTTTGCTTTTTTAGTTTAACACTGAGAAGGGCCTGGGTTCAATTCCCCAGCCAGGCAACCAGGGTCCTTTCTTTGTGGAGTCTGCATGTTTTTCCTGTGTCTGTGTGGTTTCCTCTGGGTACTCCGGTTTCCTCCCACAGTCCAAAGACATGCAGTCAGGCCAGTTGGAGATACTAAATTGCCCCTAGGTCTGTTTGTGACTGTGTATGTCTGTGTGTGTCTGCTCTGTGATGGACTGGCGACCTATCCAGGGTGCTTCCTGCCTTCCGCCCAGTGAACACTGGGATAGGCTCCAGCTTCCCCCATGACCCAGCAGCGTAAGTGGTTTAGATGACGAGGGAATGATTTGAGCCCTGGAGCTCCGAGGCTGTCATTTCTGAAAAACACTAGTAGTAAATATCATATATTTGGGAGAGCAAGATGCCGCAGGCCTGTTGAAGTCATTGGGATGAAAAGTGCTAACGTTCCTGTTTGCATCAGCCACTTCACTCCTCCTGTGTCTCCCAGGGCAACAGCATCAGACTGTGCAGAAAGAACCAGCTAGTTGGTCAAACCACAAACGCAACTGTTTTTTCCTTAAAATGCATGTTTATGTCCAAAATAGTCACATCAGTGTAGCAATCAAAAGACCAGCTACAAGTTTGCTGTAATCATACATACATACATCATCTAAACCGCTTATCCTTCTGGGTCGCGGTGGGGTGCTGGAGCCTATCCCAGCTGTCATTGGGCGGAACGCAGGATACACCCTGGACAGGTCGCCAGTCCATCGCAGGGCAGACATACATACACAATCACACAAACACTCACACCTAGGGGCAATTCAGCATGTCCTATCAGCCTGACTGCATGTTTTTGGACTGTGGGAGGAAACTGGAGTACCCAGAGGAAACCCACGCAGACACGGGGAGAACAGGCAAACTCCACACAGAAATGACCCTGGTCGCCCAGTCGGGAATCGAACCCAAGCCATTCTTGCTGCGAGGCGACAGCGCTACCCACCACGCCACCGTGCCGCCCTTGCTGTAATCATGAAGGGGGAAAAATAATTGCTAAAGTTTAGTGAAATGGGCTGAATTTCCTGCGGGTGTGAGTGGCACTAAAGTCTCTTTTGCCGGCGTAAAGGGGAAACAAGTGAAAATGTGTTTTTGGTTAAGAGGGGGCACCTTAACCAAAACCACATACCTGCGTTTCTTGAAACATTTTTACACAACGGTCCTCTCTGTTAGAAGTCAATAGTCCCCCAAATATTTTATGCAAATCATCCCCATCCTCAAAACTTTTCTCGACCCATATCCAGGTCAACAGTAAGGTCACCTAGTTTATAGACCATGTCCACATCAGCGAGTCTTCTACGTTAGTGAAGAACTGGATGCAGTTTGAGCCGTTTAAGAGAAGTTTTGGGGATGTATTTACAGAGATTTTGGTGACTGTTGACTTCTAGTGTTTGTTAGCACTCTTAGCCTTGTAGCTCCAACACTAAACTCCATAAGCAGAGTTTGGGCACTAAACATGCCTTTCTGATCAGCTTCATCTGGGGCAAGTGTAAGTTGTGTAAATTAGATTTTTTTGCCAAACAGTTCCTTTAAACTGAGCTATAAAAAGATCGTGGCTCAGCAGACATGCTGTGGTAGGCTGGTTCTTTCTTATTCTTTTCATCTTTGTAGGTATTCAGCCTTAAACCCCTGCAGATTGTGCTGCCACCAAGAGAAGACATGGACCGTCCTGCTGTGGACCTGGACCTCCATCTGCCTTTCCTGTGCTTTAGACCTGAGCAGATCTTACAGGTTTGTCTCGAGAGCTGAACATTAAGACCACAGGCGGATTTAGTAGTTCTGGGTCCTTGAACATCATGTTTGAACATCAAAGAGAGAAATATTTCTAAATTAAATAAAAATCTAACTGACAACAGAGATGAAAAAAACAGCCAAGGCACAACAACAAATGATTTAAAACACTCTTATCAGGAGAGGAAACAGAACTTGGGCCTAATCCCATTTCACCACTCTTCCCTACCACTTAGCCCTACCCCTCCGTTTTGCGTGTTCACGTCTAGGGGTAGGGTGTCCTGATTTTTGTTGAGATAGAGGGGTAGGGTGAAGTGTTAGGGCTGCATGGCCCTCCAAATGGAGGTTTTTCAGACGCTCCAAACAGAGTGATATGAGAAAAAAGAAAAACCTGCACAAACGACCAAAGAAACCCACAAATGTGAGAATTTTCTCTGTTAAAAAATGGTGATAATCATTCTACTCTCTTAGTTTAATGTCGTTTCAGTGTATTATGGTCCTTTTCTTCATAACAAGCATAAAAATCACCAGTAATATGCTGATGTCTCGGTAGCTAGCTAAATTTCCCGTTCCACCTTAAATGGTTTAAGGTGTAATGGGAAAGTTCTAACAAGAACCTGGTGAATATCTGACTTCAGCTTCATGTCACCAAAGAATTAGGGGTGGGCAATAATAAATAATTGCCCCCCCCCCACACTTTGAAGGTATATGATGCCCTAAATGTAACTAAATCCCAGCAGTGAGGAGCTGAACTTTACCCTCCTCTGCTATCACTGCAGACTGGCAGGGTCGCCTACAGAGCAGCGCTAGTAGCTGTTAATGAAGTGATGCTCTTTATTATTTGAGCGTCTCATTTCAACCAGTACACCTTGTGACTCAATTCCAAGAGGCAAAGTGACACTCAAAAACAAGGGGAAGGGGTACAAATAAGAAATGGGATTGGGCCCAAATTTCTACGAAGTTGAAGCAAGTGTATTTTTTAGTTAAAGTGGAATTGTACAGATTGGTTTTCTATCTAATGTACCTTGTTCTACCAGTAAATTACTCAATTTTGGAATTTCCTGACAAACAAAAGAAAGATTCATAATGAGTTCAAGTCTATATCATGAATTCAAAGCTAGAAACTATTAAATAACTTTTAAAACAAGGTAATTAATCTTATTTCCAGATCTAAAATTTTAAATAAGAACAGTTTGCAGTGTCACAATCAATAAAATGATGTTCAACATTAGGACTTCTCCATGTTTCCAGGTGATCTGCAGCATCCTGACAGAGCAGAGGGTGGTGTTCCTCTCCACAGACTGGGCCAGGCTCACACTGGTGGCTGAATGCTTCATGTTCTTCATCCATCCACTGTGCTGGCAGCACCCCTTTGTGCCCATCCTCTCCCGCCAGATGCTGGACTTCCTAATGGCTCCCACTGCGTATCTAATGGGTTGCCATGCCCACCACTTCGAGGAAGTGGCTGCGGTAAGGAGACGTGTTAGGATTGGGCTAGAGCTTTTTGGATGTTTATGATTTTATACTTTGATTAGATCATTTAAAGCTTGGATGAAATGATACATCACATTAAAAAGACACAAACTGGTCACTTGGTAGGTAACGTTGTGTCTTTTTCCCTGTCAGGAAACAGAGGATCTGGTCCAGATAGACATCGACAGTGGAACGGTCTCAGCTTCATGTGGCATGGACCTTCTAGACATGCCAGTGATTGCCACTGAGTGTTTTAAAGGACGGTAAGAACGGCTGCCGTTTCACAAATTAACAATTGCGCTTCAGTGTATTTCAGCGTACATCGACAACTTGTAAATGGTGGGAAAATTTTTTTTAAAAATTAGGTTTACTATAGAAATATATAATCATATATGAAGGGTTTACTAGAAATATCAACACTGTACCACAGGGGTGTCAAACTCAACGAGTAAAAGGGCCATATTAGAAAATCTCAACAAATCCGTGGGCCGAAGAAAAAAGATCTTTTTCATTTTTATTTAATATTGTGCTATAACCTGAACTGGCCATTGTTTATTTAAAAACTTCAACAGTAAAATATGGGCACTTGTAGTAGACCCTTTTTTTGGGGGGGATCAACTTTTTATTGCATTTTTCATCATGTTTTACAACAAGGGTGGGGAGAGGTAAGGGGGAGGGGAAGGCAGGACTGTGACATATATTTTTAGGAATTCACACAAATCAAAAATAAATACAAAGACAATACATAAACAACTACACAACTAAACAGCATCACATAATTTAATTGGAAACTAAAGTTCTTGAATAGAGTCATATAAATTCTCCCAGTTTCTTATTGTTTTCTGTTTTGCCTTGTCAAGTTTAGCTGTAAGATTTTCCATCAGAACTATATTTTAAAAACTAGACATCCAGAATTTCATAGCTGAAGGCTCTGGGGAAATCCAGAGTTGAAAAGACAGTTTTCTTGGAGGCTGTAAAACCTGCCATCAGCAACCTTCGTTAAAAACTGAAGAGCTGAGTCATCATTTAAGACATAAATGTGGCGACAGTGGATCACCGAGATCAAGTACTTTAGATGATATATCTACTGTAGAGGTCCATATATCTGCTACTTTAGATCATTCCCTGAACATTAGCCCATATAGTGTTCCAATCCAAGGAAGGACCAGTACTGGAAAGCTCTCGTTCCCACAGTTGTTCGACTGCCAGCTGCTTTATATGATGGTCTACCAATATTTAACGATACTCTGCCCTGTAGATTGTCCAGAGGTCTTATCCAGTCTAGCAAGGGGTGAGAGCTAAGAGTGCTGCCCCAGGGAACTCCATAGGCTCGAAGTGCAGAACGAAGTTCTAAATAAACTCTTGTAGTAGACCTTGAAATATTACATAAATACTTCAAATATTCAATATGTAAACGTCCTGGCCTCTAAAATAAACTGGCCTCTTTTCTTTACTGCAAGTTCATCAATGAATTCTGGTTTAACCGCTGTCCCGTAGATTGCTGTTGGGTTAGGAGAGTCGGAGTGCACATGACGTTGCAGTGCATGCTGGGGACTGTAGTACAGTGCACTGTAAACAGCCTAATATTAATAGAAAATGAAAATACTCCTGCGGGCCGGAGAGGAGAGGCCTGATCTGGCCTGCGGGCCTTGTGTTTGACACCTGGGCTGTACAGTGAGACTGTCTTTATATCTGAAATTTTGTGTACATACAGTCATATGCAAAAGTTTGAACACTTCTGGTCAAATGACATGTTTTGTTGGTTTTCTAAGTGAAAATAATTGAACACATCCTCTACAGAGAACGAAATTCTGCAGATTTTAATGCACAGTTACTGTTTAGGACTGTTGAGGACTTTGAGTACCTCAGGGTCTTTCTCACAAGCGATGGGAGGAGAATGTTTGTGAGATCGGCCGCAGGCTGGGACAGGCGGCAGCAGTAATGCAGTCGCTGTACTGGACTGTAGTGGTGAAAAGGGAGCTGAGCCATAAGGCAAAGCTCTCTGTTTAACGGTCTGTCTACATCCCACCCCTCACCTACGGTCATGAGCTTTGGGTAATGACCGAAAGAATGAGTTTGTGGATACAAGCAGCGGAAATGAGCTTTCTTTGTAGGGTGGTGGGCTACACTCTGCTTGATAGGGTGAGGAGCTCGGTTATCCGAGACGAGCTTAGAGTAGAACTGCTGCTCTTTCACACTGAGAGGAGCCAGTTGAGGTGGTTCAGGCATCTGATCCGGAGGCCCCCTGGGTACCTCCCGGTGAGGGTTTACCAGGCTCGGCCTACTGGGACAAGACCTTGAGGTCATCCTATGACCCCGCTGGAGGGATTTTTTCTCTAAGTTGGCCTGGGAGCGGCTCGGGGACCCCGGGAATGAGCTGGAGGAAGTTGCGGGGGACAGGGTCGTCTGGGATTCTCTGCTTTCCTAACTGCTACTGCGACCCTTTCTGGATTAAGCAGTTAAAGATGATGAATGAATGTTTGTGTGTGCAGGGTAGAGGGCCTGCAGCTGAACTATGACCTGGAGGTGTGCCGGCGCGGCAGCAGCACGGACATGAGCGAGCTGCGGGCACATAGGAGGCAGTGGCAGCGCAAACTCAACTCCGAAATACTCAGCGTCACCCTTGAGCTCATCGTCAACATCTTCAGGTTGGTCTTCTCTAAGCTCCAGTGCTCTCTTCCTGCTTCAGAACAGAGCATTAGATTCCTTTCAGTTCAGCCGGTGCTACGAGGAAAATTTGCATCAAAACAATTCTTGTGTTACAGATATGATAACCGATGGGGAGCGTGAATAAACGCTTGAGTGAAGTGTTTTTCTTTGTAGTGACGCTTTATCACTGTTGATATAGTGACAGCCAACATGCAGATTTCCTACTCCACCTCCAGGCATCTGCATCCTGCTGATAGTTCAGTGGAAGATGTTTTGTGCTTTGTGAAATGATTTCTGAGCTTGTTGTGCAATTTCTGCTCCCTTTAGAGACGTGCATGACCACTTGAACTATGAGCACCGGGTTTTCAACAGTGAGGGGTTCCTCAAGTCCCAAGAGACAGCAGATCAGGCGTTTTATAAGAAGGTAAAGATTTCTCAGACTCCTTCAGCGTTTACAGACGTGACGAGTATTCGGCCGCCTTAAAAAGTCATTCGGTCTGTCTGGAGACTGAGCCTCAATATTAATACATTTGTCGTGATATTAGTTCTATGTAAGAAAATATGCTGTGACAGAAATAATTGAAAAGTGATGTTTGTATATAATACATAAGTATTCCACCACTGTGCCGTGAAAGTTTCTAATTCATGCAGGTGAAAGATATAACCCTAACAAGTGGCTAGAAAGAGAAGAACCATTGATGAAGAAAAACACATCAAAGCACATCTGGGGTCTGCTAGAAAGCATCGGAGTGGCCTATCAGAAATGTGGGATAAGGTTTTATAGTCAAATAAGACAAAAAAAAAAAAAATATTTTTAAATTCAAAAGGCTACGTGTGGCGCAAACCTGACTCTTACTTTAAAGAGAACTGATGAACAATATATGCAAAAAATAAGATAATTAACACAAAAAACAAAACTCTAGCCCCACCCCCAATGTGAGTGTTTATATTGTTTAAAACTTTTTACCATTTATTTGAGTTTTATAAACGGGACAATTGAGAACTGTGTGTCAAGTCAGTCAATAAAGCACTATTTAACTAAAACAGTTCTATAAAACTGAAAGACACTGTATTGAAAGTCAGTGATCATTCCTCTACAAACACCATCCCAACAGTGAAGTATGGGGTTGGCAGCACTATGGTGTGCTGAACAACCTGGAGCAAATCTGATGTGAAGAATGGGTGAAAATCACTAACAAACACTGTGCAGAAACCTCCCCCAACAGACTTAAAGCTGTTATTGCAGCAAATGGTGGTACTACCGACCACTGCTCTGAAGGGGTTCAGTACATGTGCAAGCACCATTTTTCAGTTGTTTTTTTTAGGATCTGCTGACAAATAATGAAATTTAACTTCATTGATTTGCAATTAAAATAGTAATTAACAGAAAAACAAAACTCTAGCCCCGCCCCCAATGCCACAATATTTAGATTACTTAAAACCAGAATTTCGACTATTTATTTGAGTTTAATAAACATGACAGTTGAGTGTCATGTTAGTCAATAAAGCATTTATTATTTAAGTAAAATCATTCTATAAGTTAAAAGACACGTACAACTGTCACTCTGTCAGGCTGTAAATTAGTCATACGTTCTTGTGTGTTTTTCCTCTTATGTTCTATATGTTCTGTATTATTGAGATTATTCTTTATAAAATATGATTTGTACTGATTTACCTAGTTAAATAAATAAATATATATTTACATTTATCTTTACGTATGCAGGTTTTAGAGACACACATATTCCATTCTTTCCTGAGGGATCGCTTGAGTAGGAAGATGGATGCCTTCACACGTATGGAGATAAATACTCGGTCAGAAGCTTACAGGTAAACTGGCTATTTACAGCAGGGCTGCTCACTCAGTAGCTCTTCAGCTCTTTTCTCGTCATCTCATTGTCTGTTCTGGTCTGCATTCAGTTCTACACTGGAGAAGTCATCACTTATTTTGCGCACTACATATTTTTCTTAACCTTGTTTTGATCAGGTGAGGCCTTTGACACATAATTCCCAGCGTGCTGAAAAAATGCAGCTACATATTAGAGCCTGACCGATAGATGTGCTGATAATGTTGTACAATATCAGGAGCCCTTAGTTATGGTTATCGGCAAAAATATCACCTGTAGTTCAGCAGTAATTACTGACTTTTTTGGCCATGGCATCACTGAGATTTGAAGCTGCGATCTCTTAATGCCCAGGAAAAACTTAAGACAGTTGTGCCGCCTGGAAAACCCGTAATGAATCACACAATATGAACCACTTTTTGAATCATATCAAACCAAAACAGGCTGAGCGGATAAATTTGAGCACAAAACACCAGGATGGTTAAAAGAGTAAAAACATGTAAAGTGTACCCAGACCGCACCATTAGTGAGTGAGTAACAAAAAATACCATGTTTTTATGAAGACAACTGTTGAAAAATTAAAAAATAGATATTTATATTATTTAAGACTGAGATTCTGAGTCAGTAGAACATTGTTTTAAAACTGTTTAAGTATAAAACTGAAATCTGAAATGTGAAAACAAAATCATACCGTCGGTATAATTCATCACAGAAATGCTCAGTGTAAATAATGCATTGTACCAGACTCGTTCCAGTGATTGGATCGCCCTTCAGTTGATCAGTGAGCTGGAATTTATTACAGGAATCTAAAGCTTCACTCACTGGTGTCACATGAGTCTCGAACCACCTCCAGTCAGCCTGCAACTGTTTTACTTGATTTTAGTTAACTTTTAGATATTATTTTTGGTATGTTTTTAGTTATTGTTTCATTTTTATTATTCTGTTCTTATTTATTTTAATATTGCCAAGCTATTGTGTTACTTTATTTTTCGTTGTTTATTTTATTAATTATTTTGTTTGTTTTATCTTATTTTATCTTATTTATTAAATTACTATATTGTTGTAATTTTCATAGTTTATTGATTTAATGTTTTTTTTTAGTAATATGATTATTATTACTTTAGCATTTAGCATTTCTTACATTTTTACTATTTAACTTCTCAATCCCTGATCTCTGTATTGGCTCGGCTACATTGTAAATGAGGGTCTCCCTCAATGTACTCCGAGTTTAAATAAAGGTTGACTGATTGATTGATTTGATTGATTGATTGATTGATTGATCGATTATTTATTGGAATTTTTAGCCCCTTCCCTTTTAATATTGGTCAGACTGTAACACATATAGCCCAGACTCTGTGCTAAGACTCTCTGTTTGGTCAGACTGAGGACCGTGTCCGACTCTCCCCGGAGGCCCACCATGCAGGAGACAACACGCAAGTACATGGGCCCGGAGAACAGACTGAATAAGAGACTGGGCATGAGTCTCCCAAACCTAGCGGAGGACCACTCTCTGACCGCACCTATCCGTCAGCTGTCCTTAATGAAGAACTCTCCACTGATTGACAAGGGAGCCACGCTCAGTCCAGGTCTGATATCATCTACTTCTAAAAAGGAAGTTTTTAGAAGAGTAAAATAAATGTATGCAAACGTTTGGGCGTCCTTGGTCAACACGTCCTCTACACAGAGCACACTTATGCACATTTTAATGCACAATTACTGTTTAATTATTTAGTTTAACAGGGAAAACATATAAAATGTGCAGAAGTTATGTCTCATTTCACATGTTATGTCTTATTTATATGCATATGGCTGTATGTACTGAACTCATCAGGATTTAAAGACCTATTCCAATTAAACAATCAGGTAAAATCATTACTTTTCCAGCTATTAGGAATTACATTTCTAGCCTCACAGTGATTTAATTATATTACATTTCTTAAGAAAATTATTCAGTCCTTTTTTACGAGCATTTGACTGTTATGGTATGATTCAGAATTGTTTTCAGAAGTTCAGAGTGCTGAATAACTGAATATTTTATTTAACTAACAGTTCTTCATGAAACAAGTTCTGATCAGGGCAGAGTACGCACAGCTACAGAGGGGGTGTTTATGTAGAACTGCACGTTTTTGCTTTTTGCTTTTTACTGGTTATTCTGTGAAGTGTTTGGTACAACGTGACGTCAGGGTTGCCAAGTTGGTGTTTTTCTTGCTGAATTGACGTATTTCGAAAATGCATTTGTAACAGAAAATTACAAAATAATAGCTTTTATTTAGGCTGGAGAGTTTTTCTGGACGTGGCAACCCCGCAGTGAACGCTGTAGGAAACCCTAAAAAATACAGCACAATCTGTAAGAAAATCATGCATCATAACTCGCATGAGTGGTTAGTGAGAGCTTGCTATCATATCTTATCTTATGAATATTATCCTAATATTTAATTAAAACTAATCTTTAATTAAACCAAAGGTACAGGCTCCAGCACCCCCTGCGACCCAGAAGGATAAACGGCTTTGAGGATGTGTGTGTGTGTGTGTGTGTGTGTGTGTGTGTGTGTGTGTGTGTGTGTGTGTGTGTGTGTAAACAAAAGGTAACAATAGTAAAAAAAGCACCAGATCTCCATGTGAACCTCTAAGCTCACTTAGTCACATATTACTGCAAGCAGTGTTGCTAATGCTGTGGTCATGTGTGTTATCATCATATCTAATGCTGTAGATGTTTTTAATTGCTGCAGAGAGTTTTGTTGAAGGAAATAAATTCCTGTATGCTGTATTAAAGTAAATAAACGATGGTGAAAACGCCAACTCACCCTCTGATTATAATCAATCACAACATTCAGAATTGAGTGCTGATTACAGCTCCATTGTTTTTAATCTCTGCTTCTCACATTTTATCCTACTGTGTCTTAATAGGTCTTAAACTTCCCTCAAAGCCAGTCAAAACATTCAAACTTCCAGAATTCCCTCCTCCTTTGGCCTTTCACTACGTTCAGAAGTACTACTGCGACCTCATTAACCTGCTGAGTGAGTTCATCGCCACGGCGAACCCGCAGGACTCCTCCCTGCTGGCCCGCTACTACTACCTTCGCGGCCTGGTGAGCTACGTGGCTGGAAAACGGCTGGACGCCCTGGTGGACTTCCAGAACCTCAACAGAACAGACACGGACATCTTCCCGATGGAATTGGTGAGGGCAGTTGTGGATTCCCTACAGGACAGTGAGCGGTCAGTGGTTGACCGCCGGCCAGACCTGAAGCGATTGGTCAGCCGGATGAAGAAGAGCAGTGAGCAAGCGCGATTGGAGGACGGCGGCTCGGTGAAGAAGTTCGAGCTGCCGCGGACACACATGCTCCAGGAGGACTTTGTCCGGCGAGTTCAGGAGTCGGGCATCGTAAAGGATCATGGCACCATCTCTCGTCTGTTTGATGCTCTGACCGTGGGTGAGTAGTGGGGCCATCATTCAATTATTTGAATTGATTAGATACTGTGTAGTATTCGAGTAGTATTCAGTTAAAGGGACCATATCATGTTTTTCTCACTTCTTTGAAATAAAAAAGTTCAGTGAAGTTTGTAAACATTACCAAAGTTTTGTACTGTTCACACCACAGTTCATACAGGCCATGTAAACTAAGCTGCAAAGCCTATTTTGAACTGATGTTTTTGTGACTTCACATCCACCCATTCAGCCGATAGCAGTTTAGCCCTGCCCATTCATACTGAAGCTATATGTAGTGTTTCAGCCCGGCCTGCTCTTTTAATGAGGCACAATACAGGGCGGCCAATCAGAGCAGATGTCATTTACGTATTGTTGCTGTCCAAAGTAAACTGTCTCCATTTTTGTTGATTTTTATTGTGCTACATCACTTTAACACACCAGCTGTCCTTTACATTGTGTGAAAAGTTTATGATGAATGGACCAATAGAAATGCTCTAAAATCACTTGGAATAAAATCTATTTACATTGACTTACTTTAAAAGGTAAGAGGGTTTAGCCTTCTCCTGTAATGTTACTATTTTGGAGGTACTTGTTTTTCTTTGGACAGTGACGATAAATCAGATCAAAGGCCTGTCTGATAAAACCGGTCTGTCTGAGTCTAAAGAGATAAAGAGATAAAATGGAAAAAGGAATGGGTTTTTAGCATTCAGACTCATATAAACATCATAAGTGCATCTCAAATGAAAACTCTTTAAACTCTTTTGCTTCTTCAGTTCCTCTCATTTTCCCACCACCATTATTCAAAATTCCATATACATGGCAAGTGTGGCAGTGAAACAGCAGAAGTCCTGTTCCCCACTGCGCCTCTTGTAGTGTATTTCAATCTGTGCTACTGTGGAGTCAATACAGGTCAGTGACTCAGACATCAGTAAACGTGCTTGGACTCTTAAAGAGTTGCCACACCCTCCCTACTTTCAACGGTTCAATGATGACAAATGCTCAGAAATGAGAGGGACACTTTGGGCCATTGAGAGGAGAAGAATGTGGACACTACAATGCAAAAAAGTAAAGAGATAAAGTAATACAGCTTAACTTCACTGTGACCTAAACATAGCCTGTTAACACAATTACAGAAATGTTGATGAAATGCATGGATGCCTTTATGAAATGGCAAATCTTTCGGTAACACTTTCTATGAATGTCACCTTTGTAAGCATCTATAAACACATTCATAACATGTTGTATTGCATTCATAAGACATTATAAACATGGCTATAAATATTTATAAAAATGCATTATACGTTATAGCCATGCTTATTATGCATTATGAATTGTTAACATAATACATTATAAGTACTGATCATAACAAATTATCAGAGCTCATAAGTCGTATTTGTCCGCTCTAAGTAAAGTGAAGCGTACTGTACTAAAGCCTCCTCCAGTGTTCAGAGTGAGGCTACAAGTTGAAGTATTTACTGAAGGATTTACTGAAACACTAAAACATACACAATAAAGCACATTACAGGCTTCAAATGTCAGAGTTTAAACTAGAGCTGCGTCAGTGTTTTACCCAATGTGGGAAAGGTAATGTACACCACCGTTAGCTTGGTATTTGTCTTTACTTTACACTCTCCAAGCTGGGACTGACTTCTTTGGCACTGACATTATAACATGTTATTAACACTATTTATAATACATTATATTAACAATTCATAATGTATAATAAACATGGCTATAAAGTGTAATCCAGTGTAATTCTTCTTTATAAATATTTATAACCATGTTTATAATGCCTTATGAATACATTATAACATGTTATAAATGTTTTTATAGATGCTTACAAAGGCGACAATCATAGACAGTGTTACCAATCTTTCTTATATATGCCTTATGAATATTCTCACAGTCTGCTTTTCAAACTCCAAACTTTGTTGAGCGCATTGCCAAAAATTCTCTTTAGGGTGTGGTTACTTTTTAACTGACTGGTGACTTCATACAGACTTTAGACTACCCTGTTACAAAAAAACCACATGGCTGGTCACCGGCAAAAGCAGTATATCGCTGCTGTCGGAAGAAAACCTTGTATCTCCATCTCTGTTGTTTTTCAGTTTTTGACGTAATTTGAAAAGGCCTGTTGCTCTTTACATTGTGTGTCATTTTCATGATGATTGGACTAAAAGAAATGACCCAAAATGACTTATAAAAAACTCTGGTTCCATTGACTTACATTAAAAGTAAAGTAGGTTTTTCCTTCTCCTGTAAAGTTACCATTTTGGAGATACAATGTTTTCTTCCAACAACAGCGATATACTGTGTTTTGGATGCTGGTATGCTGCTCGAACAGCCTAACCATGCAGACTGACCAGTTAGACCAGCACCAGACCAGCATTAGACCAGCATGGAATGCATGTTGGTCTATAGACTTTTTTTTCACAAGAGAAAGACTCGTAAAGCTTCAACCTGAAAAAACAAGCAAACAACAAAGTGATTCAATTAGGACAGCCAACTAGGGCTGCACGATACATTTTTTTTAACGATAACGATAAATATTTTTTACGTTATTACAACATAATTGTCATGGTGGTCGAGTAACTCAACCATTCAGCTAAACGTCCAGTTACTAGATAGAACTTAATTGATACTAAAGGAAATTGCAGTGTTACAGCAGCAAGACATATAAGGTGACAATAAAAATAGACATAAATTAGAGTGAAATATGAGAGAATGGAGATAGAAGTATGTCCATTAGCATATATACATGATCATATAAGACAGATTTAATGCATTTACATGAGAGCAGGTACTGCACTAAGTTATATGAGGTTACGACACAGTGAGTATAATTATAACTAGGAGCAGCAGCAGTGTTTACAGTCGCAAGTGAGCACTAATAGTGTCATTACAGTAGCAGATTATGATGTGTTGCACAATGTGTAATAAAAGGAGATGTGATGTGATTCAGCACAGTTCAGACAGCAGGTCAGTACTGTCTCTTCAGTAAGGAGACTTGCTGTAGAGCCTTAAAGCAGTGGGTAAGAATCTCACATCTAGATAGCTAACAGCTTGTTGCCAGTCCTTTGTTTTGGGCCACAACCTCCAGAGAGTCCAGCTTGACTCCTACAACAGAGCCAGCCTTCCTAACAAGTTTGTTCAGTTTATTCACAGCACTTCTCTTAATGCTGTTGACCCAGACAGCATAGAATACAACTCTAACTACAGCTAATCATCAGCTAATCATTGCAGCAGTTGTGGTCGTAGCACACTAAAGAGATTGAGACAGTCTGAGAGCTCTGTGGGACTGAGGGCAGTGGTCCAAATTTGTGAGGATATGAGGATTTATTCGTTCTAAAGATGTAAACAGCGAAGCTTGAGTGTAGACGGGAAAAGAAGCTGTCTCTTTCCTCCCAAGACTAAATGAATTGGGATATTTCCTTCCTGATATTACTATATAGATTCCACAGATAATTTTACATGCACAGGAAAATAGGTGGAGGGCTGAGCATCATGACAGTATTATTGTATTTTATTATTATTATTATTATTATTATATGACTTTCTAAGCATATCGTGGATATTCAAGTAAAGTCAAGTCAGGCTTATTGTCATTCCAGCTATATAAAAGTACACAGTGAAACGAAACAACATTCCTCCAGGACGATGGTGCAACTCAGGAACACAAGTGTGAGACAATACAATAAACACAGTGCGGACAATACAGTACAATAAATAAATACAAAAGACTTACAATAAATACGAAACAGAGCACAGGCAGCACACGGGACTGAGAGTATGTGGAGTTGGATGTAACATACTATGACATATTAGCAGATTAGCAGATAGCCTAGCATATATGAGCATAGCAGTCACTGAGGTGGCAACCAGAGCAGCAATATACAGTATACAGTATTTGGTTGATACAGTAATTCTAGCAGCCAACATTGTTAAAGTGGAGTAAAATGTGCAAAAATGCAAGTAGCCCGATCTGCAGTCATATCAAGTGAAGTGTGTCAGTGAAATGCAGTAACTATATATATACAGTTTTCCATAATTTGGAACTGCAAGAAGTGGGGAGTGAGTTAGTCCCATATTGTTAGGTATATGTGTGTGTGGGTCCGTGCGGGTGTTGTGTATTGGGTGGTATTGTCAGATACAGTGAACACTGACTGACTGCGTTAAATAAGAGAATATAATTGGTTCTGATGAATGAAGTGCAGTGTTTGAAACACCGAGCTAAAGCACACTGAAGTTGCACACTGCTTTTTGAATGAGGCACAATACAGCGCAGCCAATCAGAAGACGTTACATAACACTGCTGTCGGAACAAAACCTCGTACCTCCAAAAATGTGACTATACAGGACAAGGAAAAACCTTCTTAACTTTAAATGGAAGTAAATGAAGAAATACTTTTTTCCAAGTCATTTTGGAGCATTTATGTCGGTCTATTCATCATGAAATTTTGAGACAACATGAAGGGCGACTGCCTTTTTCAAATTATGTCAAAAAATGAAAAACGGCAAAAAATGGAGATACAAGGTTTTGTCCCGACAGCATGATATATTACTGTGTTAGTCCTGTATAATTGGGTTTAGTGCACTGCAGTATGTAAAAGACTGAGCAAAAATAATTGTATTTTTTAAAATGCGGTACTAGAGGTGGGCAATACGATATTCCATCATTGTTGTGCTCATTTTTGTTGTTATGATACACAATATGTGCATTTGAGCATATCATAATTAAAGAGCACTGAGCAACTGCAGCTTTCATTACAAAAAGAGCATCATTAGTCCTGTTTAGTTCAATTTAGTGCAGCGTGTGAAATGTTGACAGTATGTGAATTTGATATTACTAGCATATTTTGTCTGTATCAAAATATTGTAATACGCATCATATGTCGTGAAAATGTCTTAGTATTGCAATATACTACATCATCCACTCCTAGTAGTACTACTGTTTTCTCAAAATATCGTGATGCGCATTGTGCATTGTAAAAATGTCTTCAAATATTATGATGTTATCTTTAGGGTAGATCAGCCGCCCCCAGAGGAGATGACAGATTTCTCTATTGTACTTTTCCCTGCTAAGGAAATCGGTCAGAATCTGAAGTGTGTTATTTTAAAAAGCTATGTTTATATAAATAATACAGATTTATGAGAGCTGAATTGGGTCTGGTAAAACAGGAGGTTCTGTTTGTTTCAGTACCATGAGACTAGTGGTCAGTCAGTTGTTACTCACAGGCAAAGCACAGACCTGTTGCTTTTTGTCCAGAGTTTACTCTCACTGTCGTGCCTGCATTCTCTCTTGTTGCTGCCCCCAATCATCAAAGAAAATCTGCAAAAAACTCTAGTTCTGTGTCCCTGTACGCTGATCGTGCTGCAGATCTGCACGCAATATGCTAATGTTTGCTGTATAGCTGGGGGGCTGGAGGGCTGGAGGGCTGGTGTTCAGCAGCGTTTGCTAGATCTGTGCCCATTAACCAAGTTACCATGGTAACAGCACTCAGTGATGGAGACAAAACACACATAGGATTCCCAAACATGACTAAACATATCTTACTTTAATACAACAGTTACAAGGTTCTTCTGCGGGACTACGTGGAGGTATCTTAATTATACAAAAAGCAACCTGTGAGACACCGTCTCAGAGTTAGGAACCATCTCAAAATTACAGGAAGAATAGGTGTTGCTATAGTTATTATTGTTATTACTATTATTATTATTATTATTGGTATTATTACTATTGATAGTGGTATATCTCCTCTGTAAGTACATCTGCTGGTGCTTCTGGACACATAAGTGATGTTCCTGGACACCGTCTCAGAGTTAGAAACTGTCAGGAGTGTTGCTATTATTATTATTATTATTAATAATAATAATAATAATAACAATAACAATAGCAGCATTTTTCTTTCAGTAATATTGAGACAGGGCCTAACTCTAAAATGGATACAGGAGCAAACACAGTAATTGCATGTAAGTTGATGCTTAATCTTAGCCAAATAAAAAGGAAAGTAACTCCCCACCCCCACCCACCAAGGTTTAAAGGGGAATTTCACCCATTTTTCAAAATTTCAGCACAGTTCTCCTACTGAGCTGTGAACAAATTCATTCAGAGTTTGATGTGAATTGGCGCAATGTCAAGAAATTTAGCGACCGCCAGTGAATCTACATGTGCCTTCTGAGATTTTATATGTAGTGATAGTGATAATGAAGTAGTGGTAAGTCTGAAAAAAATACATTTTTTGGTACCATTTTGCCTTTCAACACTCTGCATGTACCGCCATGAATAGATTAAAAGATTTAGAAGAACATCTTTTAGCCCAAAATCTTATCTTAAAACTATTGTGAAACTGTGTCTCGGGAATCAGGCAGCATATTCATAACAGAATACAGTCTGTGAGGGAGCTCCCATCACCACCACTGTGAAGAGTTTCTCTGGAAAGGAGCATTTCACACCAAACCTCTCTGAATGACTTTGTTCGCATCTCAACCATTTAATAATGCATAAAATTTGAAACTGTTTACTGCGATTATTTTCCACATGGTTACCTGAATAAGAGGATTCTGTTATCGGCACAGTCCTAGATTGAACCGTGCTAGTCACTGGCCCTCCAGGAGTTAAATACCTCTGCTGTAGAGATTACATTGGACTGTGCATGCTGTCGCTGAATCCCCTGACGGACTGATAAGAGCGAATGTGGTTTGCCAGGTGTGGAGACTGCGGGGAAGCTCTCAGCCCAGTCTGTTTTTTACCTTGATTCCTCTCCAGATGGTAAGCTTTACCCAAGCTCCGCCGGTTAACACCTAACGCCTGAAGGCTCTGTGTGAATGTGGGAACGGCTTCTCTCATTTATTGCCGGATGTGATTCACCCATAACTGTTTGCTTTAATCTTTAACCCTGTTTGCTGATTAACTCAAAGCTGGTGCCTCTCCATTCTCAGCCCTCTAAGAGGCTCCGCTGGCATGACGCTGGTTAATCATTTCCCTTTGATGTTGAAAAAGCCTGCTTTTTCAACAGAGTCTTCCTGGAGAAAGTCGTAGAGCTAGTTTTGGTTTTCTTGAGGTGATTTTTGTAAGGCACAGCATGGCGGTGCGTCTCTCAAGATCCTATTTTAATATATTAAGTTGAGGAGCATGCATAGTTTAAAATTGCATGGCTTAATAAAGAACAAGAGGTGTCTGTCAAGTAGTATCCAGTATACCCTTCTATTGGTTGGTACTGTCATGCACTCTTAAAAAAGATGGTTCTTCTAGGGTTCTTTAGTAAAGCCTGTGGCTGTATCTAGAACTATGAGTTCTATACAGAGATGTTTGCATGCTTAAATGGTTCTTTGCATGGTGAAATGCAAATGCAATATTGTTACAATGTCAGGTTTGTTACAATAGCAGAACACTATATAGAACCATAGGCTATACGACACACACAGAACCATTTCGCCATGCAAAGAACCACTTAAGCATGCAAATGGTTCTGTATAGAACTCATGGATCTAGACATAAACATTGCATTTACTAAGGAACCCTTGAAGAACCGTCTTTTTAAGCGTGAGGGATGTCAGTTGGTGACTGAGTATGACTGAGATGACTGAGTAACGAATTGCATGTTTTTTGTTTACTTGTGTTTGTACTTTCTCTGACTTGATATTTTACTAATATAATATTTTATTCATATTATAGATTTTTTGTTCAGTTCTGTGTGCTCCCCAGGGCAATCCACCCTGATCGTTTACAGTCACCACCTCACCCTGTGGTATAGAAATGATTTTGCAGTTTAGCCGATCTCAGAGTTGAGAGGTAGAAAACAACAGCATGAAGTCAGTCAGCAATAGTTATAATTATAATAATTCTATAGTATTACAGTTATACACCAATCAGGCATAACATTATGACCACCTCCTTGTTTCTCCGCTCATTGTCCATTTTATCAGCTCCACTTACTATATAGGTGCACTTTGTAGTTCTACAGTTACAGACTGTAGTCCATCTGTTTCTCTGCATACTTTGTTAGCCCCCTTTTACCCTGTTCTTCAGTGGTCAGGACCCCCATGGACCCTCACAGAGCAGGTACTATTGGGTGGTGGATCATTCTCAGCACTGCAGTAATGCTGACGTGGTGGTGGTGTGTTAGTGTGTGTTGCGCTGGTCTGAGTGGATCAGACACAGCAGCGCTGCTGGAGTTTTTAAACACTGTGTCCACTCACTGTCCACTCTATTAGACACTCCTACCTTGTCAGTCCACCTTGTAGATGTAAAGTCAGAGACGATAGCTCATCTGCTGCTGCACAGTTTGTGTTGTTCATCCTCTAGTCCTTCATCGGTGGTCACAGAACGCTGCCCACAGGACACTGTTGGCTGGATATTTTTGGTTGGTGGACTATTCTCAGTCCAGCAGTGACACTGAGGTGTTTAAAAACTCCAGCAGCACTGCTGTGTCTGATCCACTCAGACCAGCGCAACACACACTAACACACCACCACCACATCAGTGTTACTGCTGTGCTGAGAATGATCCACCACCCAAATAGTACCTGCTCTGTGAGGGTCAATGGGGGTCCTGACCACTGAAGAACAGGGTAAAAGGGGGCTAACAAAGTATGCAGAGAAACAGATGGACTACAGTCTGTAACTGTAGAACTACAAAGTGCACCTATATAGTAAGTGGAGCTGATAAAATGGACAATGAGTGTAGAAACAAGGAGGTGGTCAGAATGTTATGCCTGATCGGCGTACATATATTATACATAGTCCATTCCCTATTCGGTAATATTTACAGCCTGGAATGTATATCAGCCGACTGATAATATCAACCGAATGATGATCCACTGTTTTATTGATATTGGCTCAAATATTGCTGATACAGTCGTATGCAAAAGTTTGCGCATCCCTGGTTAAATTACATTTGTTTGGTGAAAATAAGTTAAACATCCTCTGCAGAGAACACACTTCTGCACATTTTAATATGTAATCACTGTTTTGTTTGCTGAGTTTAACACATACAAAATATGGATTGTGCAAAAGTTATGGCACGTTTTTATATTGCATGTTTCTTTTTTCCAATATGTTTAATAGAAATCGTGCACTTTTGCATGCGACTCTAATGCAGAGATAAGTACATTTCTTCATCACTGTATCGCCAGGATTCGAGTTTGTGATCTCCCGACTATAATCTCAAGCTTTTTTGCCATCAAGGAGCCTAATATAAAAGAGGATTCATGTTGTACACATAATTTTTTATTTTTTAATGCCTTCTGAAAGCAGCTACTTGCTATTTGACAGCGTTACAGGCATAACTGGTGAATTTAAACATGAAAGATCTTCTTAGTAAAAACCAAACCTCATATTTTCATGAGTATAATACAACACACATCTTTTAATATGAAGAGAACTAATGAAAAATAAGAAAAATGTGACCATTAAGAACTTATATCTTTACAGCAGCCTGAAAAACTCCACTAACAGTGTACCATCTCCTGCAGGTCAGCAGAAGCAGGTGGACCCTGAGGTCTTCCGTGACTTCTACACCATCTGGAAGGAGACGGAGGCTGAAGCCCAGGACGTGGATTTGCCTGCCTCTGTTCTGGAGCGTCTGGATCCAAACGAGCGCGTGTACAAACTCTCTGCATCCGTGAAGACCAGCCACGGGGTCGGCAAGATCGCCATGACCGAGCGCCGACTCTTCCTGCTCACTGAGGGACGTCCAGGTTATGTAGAGGTCGCCAGGTTCAGAGACCTTGAGGTAAGAGCATTTTTCACTACATAGGGCATAAAAGTACAGTGATGCTATGATTAGATGTTGAATCGTGGTTTTGTTATTCATGATTTTGCGTCAGTATGTATTTGTATATCATACCCTTTGTTATAATTTAGCACTATGCAAACATCAGAGACCACCATTCCTTATGTAATTTCCAGTAAAAACAGCCATTATATGCAAGTTATTTATTTTCAGGGGATTTTTTTTATTATTATTTTTTGAGATTAGATATGACAATCTGCCTGATTAGGAAACAGGAAAGTCAAGTGAACAAAACAGAAGTTTCCAAAAGTGGAGTTGATTGATTGACTGAATGATTAAAAGAAAGACATAACAGGACTCCTAACAACTATGCAAGACCTGGTAGACACCAAAACTGTCCCCATCAGATAAACAGCACTTAACGCTTTCATCTTTCATCAAGCTGCTTCAGATCTGAAAATCATCCACATCCATCCTTCCACTGTGAAAAGACGACTCAGCGCTATGGGTCTGAAAGGATGTGTAGCTGTCAAGAAGCTCTAACTGAGAAAAGGAAACAGACAAAAAAGAAGACCTTCTGCTGTAGAACACCGAAACTGGACATCAGTGATGTAGAGTAAGGTTTTATGGACTGATTAGTGGAAGTCTGTAATTGGGATTACTTAATTCTTGCAAAGCAGAAAATGCAACCAACTTCTCAGACTGAAGCTGCTGGTGTTCTCAAAACAATGGATTGACCACCCCAGAGTCCAGACCTCAACATCACTGAATGTGTTTGGGATTACTTGGATCGAAGCATAAAATGCACCTTCTAAAGCCCTACTAAGACTGGAATAGTTTAACACACGGATGTGGAGTAGTGTAATTTTTACCTGTGTTTTCGGTCTGAATCTGCCATAACAGTCATTTTTACAGCCTACACTCATTTTATGAACGGATCTGACACAGCTTTGATGAACAAGGGCCAGTATGCATTGCCCAAGTGAAGTGTTCGACTCCAAACATTAAAATATACGAAATGGCGCAAGTTTTTTAGGTGGCGATGTTGACTGTTGGCTGTAAATTCCCAAGTTATTGACACACTGCATTCACTTAAGACAGCGAGGTGGTTAGGGAAAAGAAAATAATGGCAAAATTAAATGTTTTAACATGTTTTTTTTTTTTTACCCTCTTTTTTTTTTAAAGTGTAGACTGTGCATAAGTCAAGTAGCCACTCCCATCTATGTAACATGGGCCAAAATTCCTTATCCCATGCAAACCAGTCATAACAGTACAGACATCTGGTGGTCAAATTTTCTCACCACCCCATGAAAAATCCCATCCAAACAGTACTTAAGACTGAACTTAAAATACCCCTGCAGATTTCTTTGAAAAACTGAAAAGAATGGAAGCAGTATGTGGACACACACACACACACACACACACACACACACACACACATTTTTTTTAAGCTGCTTATCCTTCTGGGCCGCGGGGGGAGCTGGAGCCTATCCCAGCGGTCAATGGGCAGAAGGCAGGAAACACCTGGACAGGTCGCCAGTCTATCGCAGGGCGGACAGACAGACACATACAGTCTCACGCACACTCACGCCTAGGGGCAATCTAGAGTGGACACACTAAATACTGAAATATTTAATATTATAATTAGTCGTTGAGGCTTTCGTTTGGTTTTCTGCAAAGGTTTGATCCCCCTAAGTGTGATTTTCTAAGTGTAAATAAATTAACACGTCCTCTACAGAGAACACACTTATATATACACTTAAACATTTTTCTGCACATTTTAATTTCATTCATATTTATTTGCTGAGTTTAACATATTGGGAAAAATGAAAACATATAAAATGTGCTGTAAATTTAGGCCACATTTTTTACCCCACTGTGTTAAATTCAGTAAATAGACAGTAATTGCATTAAAATGTGCAGAAGTGTGTTCCCTGTAAAGGATGTGTGTGTATGTTTCTCTTAAGCCCTGTTGGAGCTGGATTAGTTGTCTCTGAGGAGGTGCTGTAATCTGAATTATTACAGAGGAGATCAATGATTCTAAAGTACTATGGAGCCACCATGTCTTTAGTTATTAGAAGTTTGCTAGGTAATATTTCTGGAGCAAATTGCTTTCTGTAATTTGTCAAACACTGAGCTCTGTCAGTAATAATAGTCTGAATCGACCTCACAGTAATCATCAAATCCGTGGTGAATGAGGGAGAGGAGGCTGACCGCTAAAATGGAGTACAAAAATCGTCTTTGCTGATTGTCTGAATAGAAGAAAAGTATCTGAAGGTACCTCTTACAGGACAGAGCTGAATGAACCCACTTTAGTAGCCTAGTTCTATTCTATCTGGTATTAACTTCAAGATCGTTTTTCTTGTTTGTTTGTTTGTTCGTTTGTTTGTTTGTTTGTATCTGTTTAATTCTAATCTTAATGCTGACGTGAATGTCCGGGCTATATCTGGTAATTACATTCCGTCTTCAGACCTCTTCTAGTAAAATTTATCCAGCTCAAAAAGGGCTGAAAATCAACAAGAAAATCAACAAAACATGTCATTTGACCAAGGGCGCCCAAACTTTTGTCCATGACTCTGTTTTCTGCTTGTTTTCTGGAGCTGAAGAATGAATAACTTTCATAAAATGGCTTTTTTGACTGGAAATGAATGAAAGATGGTCTCAGACTTTTGCTCAGTCCTGTGTATAATTGTTATAATACGGGTCTCAACTTGTCGTCTGTTGTTAAATTTCTTCCAATCAGGAAGTGAAGATTTCCTCCGCTCCTTTCCTTCTCCTGAGAATCCCCTCCCTAAAGATCAAGACCTGCCGAAAGAGAGAGACGTTCGAGGCTAATCTGAAATACGAGTGTGACCTGTGGCACCTGATGATCAAGGAGATGTGGGCAGGGAGGAAAATGGCAGACGAACACAAGGTTTGCTTGATGTGGCTCTGCTGATACAATTACTTTCTTATAAGCACCAAATAGCTGGAGATAACATACAAGTGCTGCCATATGCAGAAGTTTGGCTGTTTCTTGTGTAATGACACGTTTGGGAGGAAATTACTGTTTGTTTGCCTAATTTAATGAAAACATAAAACGCGGCCTGTGAAAAAGTTACAGTACGTTTAATATTTTGTTTTTTTACAATGTTAAACTCTAGTAATAAATAGAAATTGTGCAATAAAATTAGCATTAAAATGCCATGTTTAAGTCAGTTCTCTCTAAAGATGTATTGACTTATTTTCACTTAGAAAATCAACAAAACATTGTTCAGATTTTTGGAAAATGACTGTACAGGTTATATTTCTCAGTTTTATGTACAGCTGTGTCTCCATGTTACAGACTATCCAGGCTTAAAATTACAAGAACCCCTGAACTGTTATGTATTTCTAGTCCAATCTCTGCAGAGTGCCGTGAGACTCTTTGGCTTTGTCCTCACTCATTCCGTCCGTTTCCTCTGTAAAAAATGCAAACAATATATCTCGGAAAGTATTTGCCCTGAGCGCGGGTTACATTGTCTACAGTTCTGCGCTCTAGAGAATGACTTCTGAGAACAGTTGCAGATGTGGAAATGTATTTGATTCAGATGTGTAATCAGTAAGGCATCTAACTTTGAGATCCTGCCCACCCCTTCACAGGACCCTCAGTATGTAGAGCAGGCTTTGACGAACGCTCTGTTGATGGACGCTGTGGTCGGCTGTCTTCAGTCTCAGAAAGCTATTTTTGCTGCTTCTAAACTTGCCTACTTCGACAGGATGAAACGAGAAGGTTTGTAACCACATTTCAAAAAGATTTTTACTCCTTGGTGCCTCCCAAACACGAGGAGGCCTGTGACAGTTATTACATAATCACCCAAACGCAGCCATTTGGCAGGATTGCAATCCAGTGTTATAGCTTCTTACTCCATACTCTAAGGATTGGGTGTGTTGGGCGGAGGCAAAGACCAAAGAGAGTTATAGCTTCTTACTCCATACTCTAAGGATTGGATGTGTTGGGCGGAGGCAAAGACCATTTCTAACTTCTTATTCCGTACTCTAAGGAGTTTAGAGGGCAGTGCAAGAAATGTTTTTGTTTATTTGTTTCTTTTTTATCTTATATTTTCACTCTTAAGAAAAGATGTAGCTTTGTTCAACTCACGATTCTGTATAACTCTCTCAGCACCGCTGTGGTAAGAAATGGCACAGGAGATCATTTATACCAACAACGATCACAAAACATCGTCACTGTGCATTTTTGTATACTGAGCCACTGACAGGACAGGCTCACTGGGCACCAACTGGACAATACATTATATCTCTATACTCATTTTACTATGCACTGTCACTTTGTTTATACTTCCATAAATATCGCATACTGCACAGCTGTCAATATAGGTTATCATTTACAGTGCATAGTCACTCGGTTCATTCACTGGAGGGGATGTGCACCACTGCACTGTCAACTGCGTAGTATTTATGTGATTTTACTACTTATTCTTGTACTGCATGTTATATTTTTATGGTTTAGTATATTTCATTATTTATCTTTACTTCTTCTATTTCGGCATCTGTAAATAGCCGCACGGCGACACTTTTGCTCTTGTTTTGCTCTTTACTGTACTTTGCACTGCTGTAATAGAAGACTTTCCCTTTGGGATTAATAAAGTGATATATTGGTGTTGTCAGAAGAAAATCTCATATCTCAATTTTTGTTGTTTTTCAGTTTTTGACATAATTTGAAAGCACCTGATACCCTTTACATCGTATATAAATATCATGATGAATGGACTAAAAGAAACGACCCAAAATGACTTAGAAAAAGTCTGGTTCCATTGACTTACATTAAAAGTAAAGTATGTTTTTTCCTTCTCCTGTAAAGTTACCATTTTGGAGATACAAGGTTTTCTTCCGTCAACAGCGATAACTATCTATCTATCTATCTATCTATATGTCTGTCTATCTATCTATCTATCTATCTATCTATCTATCTGTCTATCTATCTATCTATCTATCTATCTATCTATCTATCTATCTATCTATCTATCTGTCTATATGTCTGTCTGTCTGTCTATCTATCTATCTATCTATCTATCTATCTATCTCTCTGCCTGTCTATATGTCTGTCTGTCTATCTATCTATCTATCTATCTATCTATCTCTCTCTCTGCCTGTCTATATGTCTGTCTGTCTATCTATCTATCTATCTATCTATCTATCTATCTGTCTATCTATCTATCTGTCTATCTGCCTGTCTATATATCTGTCTGTCTATCTATCTATCTATCTATCTATCTATCTATCTATCTATCTCTCTGCCTGTCTATATATCTGTCTGTCTATCTATCTATCTATCTGTCTATATGTCTGTCTGTCTGTCTATCTATCTATCTATCTATCTATCTGTCTGTCTGTCTATATGTCTGTCTGTCTGTCTATCTATGTATCTGTCTATCTATCTATCTATCTGTCTATATGTCTGTCTCTCTGTCTGTCTGTCTGTCTGTCTGTCTATCTATCTATCTATCTATCTATCTCTCTCTCTGCCTGTCTATATGTCTGTCTGTCTATCTATCTATCTATCTATCTATCTATCTATCTATCTATCTCTCTGCCTGCCTATCTATCTATCTATCTATCTATCTATCTATCTATCTATCTATCTATCTATCTCTCCGCCTGTCTATATGTCTGTCTGTCTATCTATCTATCTATCTATCTATCTATCTATCTATCTATCTGTCTAACTGTAGACGTTTGTGAGTGCAGTGTGTCATTTGGAAAGTACTACCAGTGTTGGATTCTAAATAAGCACACCTAGAAAGCAAAATGGCTAATAAGCTAATTTGGCCCTTTTAGGCTTGTTCTTCAATAGTTGCAGACAAAAAACAAGAACAGACGAATCGTTAATCTCAATTATTTTAATGACGATTAATCGTCAACTAAAATTTCATAATCATGACGGCACATATTTATCAGTTTTCTCATAGAAAAGGATGCTGACCCAGAGGAAAGAAATATGAGATCCTCATGTACTTCAGACATGCTCAAGCCCTGCTTGAAATCAGAGTGAGAGCCGTTTTCTCCTGTTTCTGAACTTTGGCTCCTGAGAAATAAAACTCAGACTTTCTCACTGTGATCAAAATGTTGTCACACATGTGGCTTAACTCTGTAGTGTCTGACTCGTCTCAGCTCGGTCTCAGCTTACTAATATATCCACAAGAAAAGTGTAGCATCTCATCAGCTTCTTACACAGCTCTATTCTGTATCTCAGAACTCTTTCCACAGTCAGTCAGTGTAGAAGGTGAACCCACGCTCTTCTCGTTCATCACCAGAACTCCTAACAACGAAATGCTGATGTTAATCTCCTCTTTTCTCCTAAGGGGGTTTAGGAGAGTGAAATCAGTGATCCTTCATTAAACAGTGTTGAGATGTGCTTGATTTCTTTGAGAAAATCCTTAGAAAGACATTTTTCCTCCGGGAATCGAGCGGCAGCTTCCCTTGTCCATATAATAATATTCATGTAAGAGGAGAAAAACAGCTTCTTGAGTTTTATACTGTTTGATGAACTTGGATCATAGTTACTGTGTTTCAATTTGCTATTTAATAAAAAAAATATCTAATGTTTAGAGAGACGCATTTAACAGGTCTGTGTTTCCAACAGTGCCGATGATGGTCCCCAAAACTACATCAGAGACCCTGAAGCATAAAATCAACCCCTGTCTGAACCTGCCCTCTCCTCAAGCTGTGGACATTCTGCTCTATACTCCAGGTGAGAAATGGCATCTCGTCTATAGTTCCTCCATTTATGTTTACTTTTTACCAGCTGGGAACCAGGACTGTCAGAGCCAGGCCTTCGGTTTGGGTGATAAGTATCAAAACATTGTCAAAAACAAGAAAAAACCTCTACAGTAATGCTCATTCGTGCAGGCGCCCTTATGGGATTTGTAATAGTATGTTAGCTAACCAAGCTAACACTGGTGCATAGGAACACTTTAGGCCATTCGAGACTAAACACAGATATTTGAAGCTTGAAAAGACATTCGGTGTGTTTTATTTGAGCTCTTAACAGGCAAGAACATATTTTATCTGGCTTGTATCAGTTTCAGTAAGGAGTCTTGGGATAGAGCTGCTGCTGCTGCTGCTGCTCTTTTTCATTGTTGACAGCTGACTGAAACCTGGTTAGACTACAACTCAAATTGTCACGTTCTAATTATGTTCATAGTTAATCTAACATGTCAAACCTTCGCTTCAGCTCCTGAAGTCCTAACCAATGACAGAGCTCGCTTGGCTGTATCTACATAGATACTGTAATTTTCCATTGGGCTTTTTTTAATGTTTTTTTATGTTTCCAACCAAAACTTGGCCATGAAATAAGAGGATTAGTACAGTGCTTGCAGAGTTTAAATGCGGCTAGCATGATTGTTCTATTAAATAAAAAACGAGTTACACATTCCAGAAGAATAACTAGAAGGTTCTGAGGCTTATCCACTGACTTTTAGATACATAGGCCCCATCCCGTTTCTTATGTTTACCACTACCCCTTGTTTCCAAGTGGAACTGAGTTACAAGGGGTAGTGGTTAAAATCTTCCCTCAGAAATGGAACAACCCTCAAATAAAAAGAGCATCACTTCATTAACAGCTACTAGCGCTGCTCTGTAGGCGACCCTGCCAGTCTGCAGTGATAGCAGAGGAGGGTAAAGTTCAGCTCCTCACTGCTGGGCTTTAGTTACATTTAGGGAATCATATGCCTTCAAAGAGGGGGGCAATTATTTATTATTGCCCACCCCTAATTCTTTGGTGATATGAAGCTGAATTCAGCTATTCTCCAGCTTCTTGCTCGAATTTTCCCGTTCCACCTTAAATAGTGCAGCAGTTCTGATGCCTGAGGCGCCAGAATGTAACCGCTACACCATTTAAGGTGGAACGGGAAATTTAGCTAGCTAGCTACTGAGATATCAGCTACTACTAGTGATTTTTTTTAAGCCTGTTATGAAGAAAAGGACCATAATAAATTGAAACGACATTAAACTAAGATAATACAGTGGTTATCGTAATTTTTAACAGGGAAAATATTTACATTTGTGGGTTTCTTTCGTCGCTTGTGCAGCCATCTTGCCAGTTTTTCTTTTCTATTTTCAAAACACTCTGTTTGGAGCCTCTGAAAAGCCTCCGTTAGGAGGGCCATGTAGCCCTAACACTTCACCCTACCCCTCTGTCTCAACAAAAATTGGGACACCCTACCCCTAGTCATTTAGACTTGCCCAGTGCAACTTATATAAACCTGCAAACAAACTGATTTAGAAGCAGAGTGAATTAAAAATACACAGAGCATCTGAAAGCACTCAAACTTAAAAGGAAAGAGTCTTATCAGAGCATGGAGTCTTGCCAAGTACAAATGTAGAGCAAAAAAAAAACATTTCAAAGAGCACCAATAGAATAAGAGCAACAACCTACAAAGAACTTCCTAGCAAATAAAACGCCTAATCGCTCTGCAAGTGCATAATCTTTACACAGGAATTCAGATAACAGCGCTGCAGATGACTAAGGCTGCCTCCAGCCAGCAATGCAGTCCAGGAAAGACCTGTTTGCATTCCACCTTGACGTAGAAACGCTAGAGTTACAGATCGTCTCCTGTGAAACAGCCAGAGGCAGTTTTGGTTCTAAACTGGTTTTAGACACCCAGATTGGAAACTGTGGCTTCCAGACAGCCACTGTCTTTATGCAGACTGCATGACTGCCCCCAAAAAGCACTGTACGGTTGCATTGGCCAGGAATCGGACCCGGGTCTCCCGCATGGCAGGCGAGAATTCTGCCACTGGACCACCAATGCAAGGACAGTAGGATATGGCTTTGCTAAACAGTTGCCTACATATCAGAGCTCAAGCCAAAAGCCCAATCTCATTTCACCCCACCCCTTTCAGCCCTACCCATTCGTTTTGCACATTCACGCCTAGGGGTGGAGTGTCCCGATTCTTGTTGGGAGGGGTAGGTCGGCCCTCCAGACAGAGGTCTTTTAGAGGCACACTTCAAATGGAGTTGAGAAATCAACACACCGATCAATAAAGTAGCCACGTTTTGTGTATTTCAAATGGGTTCATCAAATCTTAACAGGATCCAAAGTCACTCACATTTTACAGGCTAGCTTGCATGTTGTATAGCTAGGCTAACTACAGCAAAACAGCAGTCTGTCCTACATACCACAAACCAATCCACTAGCATTCCCAGGCATTGAATTCCCAGGCATTTCTCAGATTTCCTGCGGAACAACCACAAAAGGATGCCTGTTGTCATGTTGGAAATGTCCAGCAAAACTCATTACATTTCTTTATGTAAAAGTCATCAACGACTACCGATGACGTGTCGGCCTCTTGAAGGGTTGGTACAATTTGTACACTCTTTAAAACGATGGTTCTTCAAGGGTTCTTTAGTAAAGAAAATTGTTCTATACAGAACCATGAATACTCAAAGAACCCTGTGCATGATTAAAGGGTTCTTTGCATCATGAAAGCTGTAGATGGTTCTATATAGAACCCTCTTTCTATTGTTGCAAGCACAAAGGTTCTATGTAAAAGCATCCACAACACATTCTGAAGAACGCGTTCATGTTGCAAATAACTCTTTAATCACACACGGGGCTTCTTTTAGAGTTCATGGTTCTTTATAGAGCCCTTGGATAACCATCTTTTTAAAAGTGTAGGGGAAGATTTCAACTACCACCCCCTGGAACTGAGTTAGGGGCAAGGTGACACTCGAAAAACAAGGGGTAGGGGTGAAAATAAGGAAAGGGGACTGGAATAGACTTGATAAGGGCTCTCAGTCTGGGATCTCCCTGGGCCGATCTGAACAGAAAAAAACCCTCAGTTGGCCACTATAGTTCATTTTTGTTGTTTGTATAAAGCCCCATTCAGACAGGACTACATTTACATGGGGTCCTGGGGTAATTTCCCAGGACCCCATGTAAATTTAATGAAGACTGTAGGGGAAGATTTCAACAACCACCCCTTGGAACTGAGTTCGGGGCAAGGTGACACTCGAAAACGAGGAGTAAGGGTAAAAACAAGAAATGGGATTGGGCCTAAAGGTGCAGTTTATGAGCCGTGTACATGGTTAAACACAAAATATGTTTCGTATGCATTTGAGTGAGGGCCACACAAAATATGGGGCAATCATGAAAAGCGATGGTGGAGATATACACTTTACACGTGACTGATAAAATGTTGTGCTTATGGACTAAAGTTTGAGCAACTTGCCGTGGCTGGTTTTGCATTCTTTTGCCTCTGCCCTTTTAACACCAGGCTCAAATTTGGGTTAAAGTCCCAAAAGACGTGTTATTGAGAGATTCCGTTTAACAATGGCAGCAGCCACAGTGGACATATGTGAGCCTCAAACATGCATCTGTTCACGCTCAGGACACTGTTTAAACACTCAGGATCAGACGTGCGTTTGTGAGACGACACAATGGTAAATATGCAGTGATGTGGCTGCGACGTGCACGGCCTGTGAAGCTGTTTTGGTGGGAAAGAACTTCATTTTAAACACCAGCATTGCTTCATCACTGATCTTTCATTTTCTGTTCTGTCTCGAATTTAAACCCTGCAGCTCAGGCAGTGGGCGTGGCCACACACAGTTTGTATGATTGACATTGTGGGCACGTTAAGACACAGTTTGTGCTGCGCTTGTGTTTGTATGTACATCTAGTGTTTTTTTCTTTTATTTTTAGAGGCAACACTAAACACTGTGATGATCTAAGTACACTTTCCACCCATATAAACAGTTCTACAGTTCTGCTCCACACTAAAGTGCAGGGAAGTCTTCAGACAAGTCTTGCCGTGAACCTTTCGCCTACTGGTAGATTAAGGACTTGGGTCACATTCCGTAAGTTTCACCTACCACACTTGATAAGGGCTCTCGGTCTGGAATCTCCCTGGGCCAGTTTGAACAGATGAAATCCGTCGGTTGTCCACTCTAGTTCGTTTTTGTTGTATGTTTAAAGCCCCATTCAGACAGGACTAAGGCCCAGTCCCATTTCACCCCTCGCCCCTACCACTTAGCCCTTAGCCCTCTGTTTTGCGCGTTCATGTCTAGGGGTAGGGTGTCCTGATTTTTCTTGAGATAGAAGGGTAGGGTGAAGTGTTAGGGCTACATGGCTACATTTTCAGAGACTCCAAATGGAGAGTTATGAGAAAAAAAGAAAAAACGTCAAGACGGCTGAACAAGAGACCAAAGAAACCCACAAATGTGAGAATTTTCTCCATTAAAAAAATGATAACCATTGTATTATATTAGTTTAATGTCGATTCAATGTATTATGGTCGTTTTCTTCATAACAAGCATAAAAATATTATAATAGTATGCTAATGTCTTGGTAGCTAGCTAGCTAACTTTCCTGTTCCACCTTAAATAGTCCAGCAGTTCTGACGCCTGAAGCGCCAGAATGTAACTGCTGCACCATTTAAGGTGGAACGGGAAAATTCGAACAAGAAGCTGGTGAATATCTGACTTCAGCTTCGAATCACCAAAGAATTAGGGGTGGGAGATAATAAATAATTGTCTTAAACCCCTCTTTGAAGGCATGTGATGCCCTAATTGTAACTAAAGCCCAGCAGTGAACATTTCCCATCGCCGCTATCACTGAAGACGGGCCGGGTCCCCTACAGAGCAGCACTAGTAGCCTGTTAATGAAGCAGTTTTCCTTTTTTTTTCTTTTTTTTTAAGGATTGACCCATTTTGAAGGGCAAGATTTCAACCACTACCCCTGGAACTGAGTTCTTGCCCTTCAAAATGGGTGTTAGGGTGACACTCAGAAACAAAGGGTAGGGGGATAGGGCCTAAACGTACATCGGGTCCTGGGGGTTTTTTTATTTTTTTTTACAGACGTACTGCTGATCGTACTGCATCAGGAAGCAGACACTAGAATATGTGAGCGGGATGTGGACGTGCTATGCTTTTCTTTAGACTTTGATTCGCTCATTTGAATGTAACTGTGTCGGTCACATGGTCACTCAGAGCTGACCTACTGTCACTCACGTTGTCGAGGTGATGCAGGGTGGGTTTGAGGTCCATTGAACAAAAATAGGTCACACATTCATTCTCCTGGCAGACGTCCAGCAGCGTCCCCCAGCTCCAGGCCAACTCCCAGATAGAAACTGCATTGTTAAAGTGAAGGAAACCTCTGTGTTCTTTCCTGCTCTTTTTAATGTCTAACTGTGGCTTATTATAGGAGAGCTGGGTGCAGCGGGCTCAGAGGGCAGTGGGTACCCAAAGCTGTGGTGCGCTTTGAGTGGAGGGAAGGTGGTGGTGTTCGATGCTGCCAGCTGGTCCATGCAGCAGAACTGCATTCAAGTGGGGACCTCCCGCCTGGTAAGGGAATCCTCCACATACAGTCACCTGAAGAAAAGTGATGTGGTGTATATTAAAAAGGCTTGAACAGCCAGAGGTTATAGGCTATTCAGGGGGTGGGCTGAGGAAGGCTTAAAAGGAAACCCATAATAATCAATCAATCGATCAACCTTTATTTAAACTCAGAATACATTGAGGGAGACCCTCATTTACATGGTAGCCGAGCAACACAGAAATCAGGGATTGAGAAGTTGGGTAGTAAAAATAAATCAAATCTTATGATAAAATAATAAAAATCATAGTAAAATTTAATAAGAAATGACCAATAAACTGTTAAATCAATAAAACATTAAAATTACAATATAGTAATTTAACAAGTAACGGATCAGATAAGGATAAAATAAATAAAAACATAAATTAATGAAATAAAAGAGAGAAATAGAAGACATAATACAATAAATTGATGATAATAAAATAAAAAAAAGAATTCAATAAATAAACAGAATACTAATAAAATAAATAAAAGGAATAAAAAGAATAATAAAAAGTAAAACAAGAGCTAAAACATACCAGAAATCATATTAAAAGTTGAGTAAATTTAAGTAAAGCAGTTGCGGGCTGTGTGGAGGTGGTTCAGTCAAATGCAAATGAGTTAATTGACTAAAAATTAAGGATGCAAAATGATATTGGAATCATATCAGTACTGGCAGATAATTGATTTAAATTAAATTATAAACATTGGATTTGACTGATATTTCAATTCAATATGTATTAGCCTGTTAATTGTACTCCAGAAGTGCAGGATGTAAAGGTGATGCTGGGCTGCTGTGCTAAAATATCTGCTTTTTTATATTTCAGTATTTTTAATTTTCTAAAATTAATGTTACATTTCTTTGTAATGATAATCCAGATTGATATAGTCCCGATTTCTGCATTTTATAAACGTTAATGTATCAACATCAGCAGATATTTACGTCAGCCCAGAATTCCCAATTTAGCACATCGCTAGTGAGAATGTATCTAAAGGAGCCAGTTTAACTGCATCAGTTTTATAATGTTAGAATGAATTATAATAATAATATAAAGTATGCATTTATTTTTTCTGGCAAAATGAAAAGCTCAGGCTATTTTCAAATGTAAAGATAAAAAGTACTTGGTTTATAATAATAATAATAATAATAATAATAATTATAATAATAATTATAATAATAATGTTTATTCATACAGCACCTTTCATACATTAAAAATGCAGCTCCAAGTGAAAAAGCAATACAAAGTAAAACAACAGAGGAAGAAGAAAGAAATATCATCAAAAATAAAAAAAACTAAAATAAACAAATAATAAATAGCAGAAAAGGGATTTATTAATAATTACAATTAATTATTTATAAAAATGAGAAAGAAAAAAGAAAAAATACCATAAAAATGCCACTATAAAGAGAATAAAAGTAATAGTAATCTTCCAGTAAAAACAAGTAAACAATAAAAAATAGTTACATGCTAAAGTAAAGAAATATGTTTATAACCTTTTAAAAAACATTGACTGTATAGTTTTTAATGATCTATATTTCACCACTATGTACATTGTTTCTCCGCTCATTTGTGTACTCAGTGTATTTTTAGAAGAAACTTTGAATCATACAAAATAATTTCATTCAATTGTGGTGAAATTGTGGAGCCATTGAATCATTTCCTAAAGAATCATTGGGAGATTTTCTTCCTGGTAATTGGTCTGTTTTGCATGCTCTGTTACATTCTGCTGAGTAGCTCGCAGGCTTTGCTGCCTCCTGGTGGTTTCTGTTCCCCACCTCAAGTTCACGTCATGATTTCACCACCTGACCTTGTTTTGTTGACTTGTCTAGAATTGCATGCTGGGAGTGGACCAGCAACAGCTGTGGATTGGCTCTGAGGACTCGGTCATTTACATAATCAACCCGCACAGCATGGCCTGCAATAAACAGCTGACGGAGCACCGTGCTGAGGTCACCGGCCTCGCCCTGGAAGACCGGCCTGATAAATACAGGTAGCTCATACTGATACTGCTCACGTCCATAAACCGCTCCCAGTCCCATGACTAATGCTAGTTTATTTTTGGTTTGCATTTCCTTGTGAGTTCACTCACGGTTTTCCCCCTCAGTATATATCCTTTATGGTGTCTTAAAAAAGTCTTTTATAAAGTCAATATAAAGCAGTCTTATCTACTAAGAGTCTGAGCTTTTGTTCCTACACATGAGATTCAGCTGACCAAGCAAATCATTTATCAACTAACAAGCCTCACAACATCAGCCATGATGTTACTCATTATAATTATAATGAGGCATATCATTGGAACTCTGATTGCTGTCATTGAATGTGTGTGGATAATATTTGGGACCACGTCTGAGTTAGTCAGATTTCCAGGGTGGTCCTAGGGAACGAATGTTAGTGTCCTTTTTTTGTTTTATACTGCAATGTATGTAGACACCTGACCATCACATCTATCTGAGCTTGTTGGACATCCAGTTTCAAACTCATCAAACTATGACTGTAAGGAGCTCACTGTGTGCACAGGGGCACAGTCATGCTGAAACAGGAACAAAGGGGCTGAAACCCTGACCATTATCCCTCCTCCACCAAACTTCACTGTTGGTACTATGCATTCTGAAAGGCAGTGTTCTTCTGGCATCTACCAAACCTGGATTCATCCATCGGACTGCCAGATAGTGAAGCATGATTCATTACTCTAGAGACCATGTTTCCACTGCTCCAGAGTCCAGTGGTGGTGTGATTTACACCACTCCTGCCCACACTTGGCATTGCGCATAGTGATCTTATGTTTATGTGCAGCTGCCCAACTGTGGAGACCCATTTCATGAAGCTCCAGACGCACAGCTCTTGTGCTGATGTTGCTTCTAGAGGCATTTTGGGACTCAAGTGATTCAACAGATGATAGTTTTTACGCGCTACGTGCTTCAGCGCTCTTCGGCCTTGCTCTGAGATTGTGTGGTCTACTGCTTTGTGGATGAGCTGTTGTTGCTCCTAGATGCTTCCAATTCACAAAAATGGCACTTACAGTTGACAGGGGCAGACCTAGCACGGCAGAAATTTCATGAACTTACTTGTGGCAAAGGTGGCATCTTATGACAGTGCTACGTTTAACATTGCAAAGCTATGCGCTTGATTTCATACACCCGTTAGCAATAGGTTTGCCTGAAACACCTGAACTCAGGAGAAGTGTCCACATACTTTTGGCCATATAGTGTATTCCAGCTACAGATATGCCTCAGCCAGATTCTCTTCAGCTGAAATTTGCATGCTCAGTGACTTTTTGCTATAAACACAGGTTGTGCTTTATAATGCCCTGAGCTAACGTGCTATCAAGAAGCTAATATGTTAGCCATGGGCTAACACGTTGACCAATGGTACAAAATGATAAAATGCAATATGATGTATAGTTACACTCTTACCTAGAAATTCAGCCATTAGGAGCGGATAACTTTATAATTTAGGATGATCTTACTGGCAGGAGTAGATCCTAGATCAGCACTTTCAGTCTCAGAAGCTTGATGAATGCAGGCGCTGGTATTATATAAACTCCAGTTTACGACTAGTTGGTGCAACAGCCTTAAAGCTGCAGACAGAAAGTTTTGACCGACTTGGATTACGACAAGGCGTGAGCTCTGTTTGTGCAACCTGGCCCTGCTGTGTTAAGAGCCTGGGCTGATCAGGTCCCTGAGGACTCGAATGGAAAACTGCTCGACATGTATCTGTGTCTCATGAGTCCCGTGTCCCTGTTCCAGCCCGCTGGTGGCGTACTCGTGCAGCACGGAGGGCACGGTGATCATGTGGGAGGTGGCCACGCTGCAGGTGAGGCGCCACTTCAGACTGTCCTGTGACGGACTGCGGTCTCTTCAGATCTTTGGTGGAAGGTTATGGTGCTGTAAGTACCTTTTCATAGTTTTGCTGAATAGCTTTATAATGATATCTCATATCTGTAGCCGTTCACTCAATGAATCGAAACACTCACACAATATAAGCATTTCTGCTTTGGCAGACTTAAATTTCAGTAGTCTAAATGAGTGAGTGAGGTGTTTATCAGTATCACATACCTGTTTTTTCTGCTCTAAAACACCAAGTTCAGCTCATCAGCTAATTATCAAACAGCTCACGAGTTCACTCAGATGTGTTAGACAGGAAAACACAAAGCTGCAGGGCCTGTGTCGACAATAAACAACTATTGAGAAAAAAGTCATTGAGAAAAAGGATAGACTGCATTATGAATGCCACTGTTTTTTGCAACTTTTAAAGGGAAATTCCACCAATTTTTCAAAATTTCGGAATAATTATCTGAATAATTAAATCATTAGGATGATTAAGTCATCCAGATTTTAATGTCCTTTTTTATGTAATAATCTGTTCTAGAGAAACTCAGAAAAGACAGACTCAGAATTGTTCACAATGGTGGTAATAGGAAATAGACATCTGAAGAGTATCAAAGATATTACATAAAATTATATATATAAATATGTATATATATATATAGTGCAGCAAGATGGGCCTGGGTTTGTTTCCTGGCCGGGCAACCAGGGTCCTTTCTGTGTGGAGTTTGCATGTTCTCCCCGTGTCTGTGTGGGTTTCCTCCCACAGTCCCAAGACATGCGGTCAGGCCAATTGGACACGCTAAATTGTCCCTAGGTGTGTGTGTGTGAATGTATATGTGTGACCCAGAAAGATAAGCGGCTTAGAAAGTGTATGGGTTTACAATATTTTTGTATATCTCTACTTTTTATACATTACATATAAAAACTCAGTAGACAGGTGTAGGTTCACTGGTGGCTTTGGACAGTAAATAAAATGACTAAATTTGTGTTGTAGACATGGCGACCCCTGGTTCCTATCACCACCACTGTTAAGCAATCTGAATCATTAAGTTTTTCTACCATTAACCATTTTTATATTAAACCACTCTGGAATAGTTTATCTTTGTATCACAACAATTGAAATCTAAAGAAATTTTGAAACATTGGTGGAATTCCCCTCTAAGTTTCCCCTGGTTCATTCTTTGTTTTAAGGTGCTCTGGACTGTGTGATGGAAGTGCGGCGAAATGGCACCCTGCACCGTAAAGTGGCCCTTCCCGATCACCTCCGGGGTCCTCCCAGCTTTTACAGCGGCTTTGTGGTCTTTTATGAGGTGGGCAGCACCACATCTCTTCCTGTTTGCCTTCCTACAGCGTTGCCCCCTGCAGTCCTGCTCCTCTCTGAACACACCGTGTGTTTGTTTACCTCCCGTCAGCTGGTTCAGGAGGCGTGCGTCATAATGCCGGCGAGCGTTTAATGCACTGCTAATGGTTAACAAATGTGGAGGCGGATTTCTGTCTCTGCTTTGAGTTGTGAAGTGTTTTTACGGTGCTGATGATTAGAAACAGACGTTTTATCCATGTTGTTCAAATTTCTAGCTAGTAAAACAGATTATTTCAGTTTATTTATCTTTCAGCCTTTTGATGTTTTCACATGATACCAGCTGGCCTACAGAACGGTCACTTAGGCTTGAGTATATTTTCCATTTATTGCCAGTGGCTCCACACTGCAGTGACTAAAGCGCACCAAATTATGAAAGTAGGTGTTCGTTGATTGGTCAGAAATTTGGGACATATACAAGCACTCATATAACACATATAATCTTGATATAAATGTTTTACCCTCTTTTTTTTGTATTAAAATAGAGATGATTAACATGTGTGGATCACAATCACAGCAATAAAAATAAACTGGATCTCTGCATCGTTGATTGAACAGTGTTTCGAATTAGTCAGATCAGAAATATACTCCATGATCCATGTGCCTAAATCAAATGCATTGCTTTGCTGTTGAGCAGCAACTCATGCTATCAAGCGTCAAAGCAGGCAGATGATGATGACAGAACAGTGCTGATGTGCTGCTAGAGCAAACAGAACCCATGCTCTGGTGTTAAATGCCCTCATTTGGTGCAGACCCTTGTAAAAATGCTGTCCTACCAGCAGAAAACTAAAAAAAGGACCTGCGAGTTTTGGCACACAGCAGTTTTTTTGCTTCACATCTGTCAAAACAAACCAAAAAAGTTCAGTTGATTCTCTCCGAACAAGGCAGATGAGTCACACAGCTTACATTGGCCAAATGTCATGTTTCAGATGTGGCCGGATGGTGTTTCGATAGCTAAGTGTCATCTATACAGACACTCATACTGAATCATACTGAATGTACCGTTTAAGCAAAGTGAGTCAATTGCTCCAACCTGATTCACAGTTTTCTGATGTGTCATAAGCTGATGATATGAGGAACGTTTATAAATTAGGTGTATAATATCAAATACATTTCACTCTTGGACATGACATTGTATATTTTCTGTCTATTCTGTGAACGGAGCCCCTTTATAAGCTTAATGTGTGTATTTTACTAATAAGCTTTGCCCATTTATTCAATTGTTGTTGAGAATTCTAAAAATAAAAAAAAATCTCAGTAGGTTTGAGACCAGAAAAGGGGCGTAATGACAAAAGTTGAACAACAAATGTTTCTCTCTTTTCTCTCATTTCATTCAAAAACACTTTCCCAAATGGGACTGACAAAAATGTGAAAATTCTCTGTTTTAAAGCTTTAATTTCCAGCTGTTCATTTCAGCTTTTCATCAAACTTCTGCTTCGAACACAAGAGTTCCAAAAGAATCGAAACGATCGAGATTGCCTCGCTTGTTTCTGCCATCACTAATGCTGTCTTAAGCTTTGATTGGCTCTTACGGAGCCTTCTGAGCTGTGATTGGCTGTGTTTAACTATAACCAGTTGCGACTGGGTGTAGTTTTGTCTCCCTTCTCTGTGTTCAAAACACAAAATGACAGTTTTTCAAATATGTAATCAAGTGGACGTTACATAGGTCATAATAGTTGAATCGTGTCATCAGCGCTCCTTATAAAGTTGCCATTGACATCTCGTACTGTGTACTGTGGTTCTCCTCACTGTCTTCTTCCTCTGGGCTGATCTTGCAGAGGGAGCAGCTGTGGACCGGCTGCACAAACGCAGGTGAGCTGTGTGTGTGGCACCTCAGTGACCCAAAGAGACCCTTCCAGAGGATCCAGCTGCCTGACTGCGCCGGCGTTATCTGCATGATCAAAGTTAAGAACAAGGTGAGAACCCTCCGTGCTGGCGAGAAGAGCGGTCACACTGGTCTTAATGTATATTTGTTTAAGGTTGGGGAGTTTTGGTGTTCATTTGTTGAACTTTGCATCTGTCTAAAACTATGGAAAATACAAGTATTAAAGGGGAATTCCACCAATTTAACAAAATTTCAGTGTAATTCAATCACTGAGATGTAAACAAAGTCATTCAGAGTGGTTTGGTTTGAAGATTTGGTGTGAAATTGTTCACTGTAGGGAACCTTACCAACTCAGGTGATAGGTATCAGGGGTTTCGATGTAGATATAGCCATTTTATTTGCTATCTATAACCAGCAGTGAACCTACACACATAGAAGATCTGAGAAAATACGTTTTCTTTGGGGACTACTTGGCCGTACAACACCCTGACAACATGTTCCTCTCTGCACTGAATGGTTAAAAAATACATTTTATTGCAAAACCTCCTCAAAACTATCATAAAACAAGGTCTCAGGCAAGTCAGTGCATTCATAACCATTTCATGTAATACCTTTCTGTGAGAGACCCTTTAAAGGCATTACACTCTTTAGACGTCTGGTTCCTATCACCACCACTGTAAACGATAGACAGTGTTTCTCTAGAACAGAACGTTTTACATCAAACCACTCTGAATGACTTTATTTGCATCTTTAACAACTGAATTTTTCAAAGAAGCTGAAAAATGTTCTCTCTTTCTCTCACAGATCTGGGTGGGTTGCCATGGCTACAGTGGAGGTAAAGCTCGTGGGAAGATCTACGTGGTGGACACAGAGCACCACAAGGTGGAGAAGGAGCTGGTGGCTCACTCGGACTCCGTTCAGACTTTGTGCTCAGCTGAGGACCGGTACGTTCTGAGCGGTGCAGCTGGTCAGGATGGAAAGATTGCCATCTGGAAAGTGGAGTGATGGAAAAGAATGGACTCCTACCAGCAGACTTGCAGATACTTCTGCGCCACAGATATGAAGAAATGTAAAGGAACATTCAGACATGGGACGAATCTTATAATGGAAGATTCATTGTATCATAATGCACTCAGATAACGCATGACGAGTTCGATATGAAGGATATCATTTATATTTTTACTGTAATCTGAAGCAGTGGTTTATATTTAAGGGGAAAAAGGGGAAAATTGTTCCTTACTACTTTCAGTGCTGGACTGCCATGATGATATCAGTATTTTTGTACAATGGGTTGCCGTATGTCCAGCGCTTGTAGAGTCGTTTGGGCTTATAAACTTGAGCCATTAAGAGTCATTTTTTTTTTTTATGAAGACTTTAGACCCATAAGGTGTCTGGGTTATAAGTAATTCCATTTATTCCACACTAATATTTGAATGATCCTGTTGTTTTTGCCAGGTTCTCTATGCTGTTCATAGCATAGCATTATGTTTTACTGTCATTATCTTCTGTGTTTTATACTGGAACGTTGTACACATATACTGTTATTTACTGTGGTTTCCTTACTGTCACCTCCGACTTCCCATAGGCTGACCGGGTGTTTTTACTAAAATTATTTCCTATTTTAATTTTCTAAAATTAAATATTTTTCTAGCATTATAAATATAGAGAAAACGTTTTCCAGCATCATGTTCTGTATATCTTGTAAAGGTTGATATTTAGTATTTCAGTAGATGATGCAATACGGGTGAGTCAGTTTTTAGAATAAATTACTCTGCTGCACTTTGTTTTAAGGGGTTGTATTTCCCATTTGGGACAACTAAGGTTAATAAAGTGGACATACTAATACATAAAGCAAGAAGCTACATTTTAACTAGGATTCTCAAACAAAGAATATTGTAATTAATTGCAATAACCACACAGAATGCAATTGAATCCCATCAGTCTTATTTGCTCAGATTTGACCCAAAATAAAGTTAATGTATTTTTTTTAAATAACATTTTACCACATGAATGTAAGGATCATATGAACAAATTCATGTGATTTCCAAAGGAGGAAAAAATTGGAATCTGTTTCATCACTACCATCCAGTGCACACATTAGTCATTGTTGTAACGAAACTTAAAGGGCAGATGGTGTCTTCAAATTCCGTTAGAAAACAAAAATACGAGGTTTAGTTCCAACAGCAATAATATATACAGTCAGTGGTTTCACGCCATTCTCATTCATGCTTCTGAATTCTTGTTACACTTTGCTGTTGCTTTTGTTAGTTTGCTGCTTGTTGATTTATACGCAGGTCTGCCATGTTAACACGTTACCTTTGACAGCCTGATTTGGACACAAGGGTTTATGTGAACCGCCAGGAACCAGGATACATTTTATTTGCTTATATTGACATTTCCTAATCTTGATCCTCACGTCCAATGAAAAAGCCCTTCTTACGTTTAAAATGGTTTCATTATAGCAAAGCAAACACCAAAGCTGGGAGTACAGGAACAGTTCCCACCTTGGAATCACTGGCACATCAAGCAAAGCTCTAATGAAAGACACTTCTGTTAGAACCCATGGACCTTGTAAACCAAGAAAATCAAACTGCTAAAATATACACACACACACACACACACACACACACACACACACACACACACACACACTCTCTCTCTCTGCTGTCAGAACAAAACCTTGTTTTTCCATTTTTGTCATTTTTCAGTTTGACAATTTGAAAATACCTGTTGCTCTTTACAGAGTGTGTAAATTTCATGATCATTGGACCAAAAGAAATGGATCAAAGTTACTTGGACAAAAAAAAATAAGCTCCATTGCCTTAAATTAAAAGTATGTTTTTCCATCTTCTGTAAAGTTACTATTTGAGATACAAGGTTTTATTCCAACAGCAGTGATATATAAGCTACAAGTACAGAATGCATTCACAGTTCACATTTCAAGTCATACTGCATTATTTATTTTATTCAAGATACAAACATCGTACAAAAACCCACTAGCGCAAGAAGACAACTTCTAGTACTCATCTTCCTCTTCCTCAGCATCAGCAGAATCTGCTCCAACCTCCTCATAATCCTTCTCTAAGGCAGCCATGTCCTCTCTGGCCTCAGAGAACTCTCCTTCCTCCATTCCCTCACCCACGTACCAGTGCACAAAGGCCCGCTTGGCGTACATCAGGTCAAACTTGTGATCCAGGCGGCTCCAGGCCTCCGAAATGGCCGTGGTGTTGCTCAGCATGCACACGGCCCTCTGGACCTTGGCCAGATCTCCACCAGGAACTACAGTGGGAGGCTGGTAGTTGATGCCCACCTTGAAGCCTGTGGGACACCAGTCCACAAACTGGATGGAGCGGCGGTTCTTGATGCTGGCGATGGCAGCGTTGACGTCTTTGGGCACTACGTCACCACGATAGAGCAAGCAGCAGGCCATGTATTTACCACGGCGAGGGTCACATTTCACCATCTGGTTGGCCGGCTCGAAGCAGGCGTTGGAGATCTCCGCTACAGACAGCTGCTCATGGTAGGCTTTTTCAGCTGAGATGATGGGGGAGTAGGTGACCAGGGGGAAGTGGATACGAGGGTATGGAACTAGGTTGGTCTGGAACTCCGTGAGATCCACGTTCAGAGCTCCATCAAAGCGCAAAGAAGCCGTGATGGAGGATACGATCTGCGCAATCAGTCGGTTGAGGTTGCTGTAGGAGGGACGCTCAATGTCCAGATTGCGCTTGCAGATGTCAAAAATGGCCTCGTTGTCCACCATGAAGGAGCAGTCGGAGTGCTCGAGCGTGGTGTGAGTGGTCAAGATGGAGTTGTAGGGCTCTACCACCGCAGTGGAAACCTGGGGAGCAGGGTAGACCGAGAACTCCAGCTTTGACTTTTTGCCATAATCGACAGACAGACGCTCCATCAACAAGGAGGTGAACCCAGATCCAGTCCCACCACCAAAGCTGTGGAAGATCAGGAATCCCTGGAGACCTGTACACTGGTCAGCCTGCAGGGGACAAAAGACTCAGGAGCTTGGCAAAGCAATTCATATTGTAGGGCTATTCTACTGTGGTCCTGGAGGTCTGGTGTCCAGCATAGTTTGATGTCTCTTCTCAAGTGCACCAGATTCATCTCTTTTGTTAATCGCTATGGTGGACACCAGCCCTCCAGCGCTGGAGTTGAATACATGCATTTCACATTTACAGCATTTGGTAGATGCTCTTATCCAGAGCGACTTACAATTTGATCATTTTATACAGGTAGGCAAAGGTGGTGTTAGGAGTCTTGCCCAAGGTCTCTTATTGGTATAGTGTAGGGTGGTTGCCCAGGTGGGGAATTGAACCCCAGAGGTGTTACCCACTACACTATACCAACCACATCATTACATCAACCCTCATCATTGTGTATTTATGGGGAAACTTAAGGCCACACCAAACGCTCACCATTTTTCGCATTCGATCAAGCACAGAGTCCACAATCTCCTTGCCGATGGTGTAGTGGCCACGGGCGTAGTTGTTGGCAGCATCTTCTTTGCCACTGATGAGCTGCTCTGGGTGGTACAGTTGCCGATAACTTCCGTTGCGGATCTCATCTGTGATCAAGCACATGCAATCATTGGGAAACAGTTCTGGTAACTGCAAAACATCTACAAACAGAGTAGCAGTTCAAGGTTTAGCCACTGCCATTTTACCTACAACCGCTGGTTCCAGGTCTATGAAGACAGCTCGTGGAACATACTTCTTAGCTCCAGTCTCACTGAAGAAAGTACCAAAAGAGGAATCCGCCAGTGAGGTGCTGCCAGCATTGATCATCCCATCAGGCTGGATGCCATGCTCCAGACAGTACAGCTCCCAGCAAGAGTTACCCATCTGGACACCGGCTTGGCCGATGTGCACAGAGATGCACTCCCTCTGTGGAGCAGACGGGTTCAGTCAAAGCAGTGATTGCCAGAAAATGAGAGCCATGCTTTAAGGAATAGTACAAAGACATTCAATGAACACCAACTTCACCATTGTATTGTGTTGGGAGCACACAAAGAAACGTCCTCAGTCCCTAAAGATGCAGAACAAGCTGTAAGCAGAAGCAAAAACTCAGCTGCTACGTTACTCCACCAGCAAATAAAGCAGTGCCCACTCACACAGCTGTGCCAAATCAGCCACCTGTGCAGCTTAATGAAGAGCGACCTCATGTGGAGGGGTGTGGCTTTTGGATTCATAGAGTCGTGAACCTTCCTTTGCTACTCTGTCAGGTTTAGGTGTCCACACTCTTGAAAAACAGGTTCTTCAAGGGTTCTTTGGTAAAGAGAGAGCGGTACAGAACCATTTCATGTCATGCTTTGAGGGTTCTTTGCAAAGTGAAATGGTTCTTCACGTTGACGGAGAATGTGTTGTGCATGGTCGATAGAACCTTTTTGAAAATGGTTCTATATAGCACCAAAATTGTTCTGCTGTTGTTACGATGTCAAGCCTGGGGCTAGATAGAACTGCTTACAACACATTCTCCATCCGAAGAACCTTTTCACCATGCAAAGAACCATTTAAGCATGAAATGTTTATATAGAACTCATGGTTCTAAACAAAACTGTTCCCTTTACTAAAGAACCCTTGAAGAACCGTCTTTCTTAAGAGTGCATAAATGACCTCAAACTAATTTAACTTTTTAATTCTCAGGGACTGAAAATCTGAGAAAATTATAAAGGAATTCCAGTGTTTTTCCATAATTCCTGTATATTTAAATCATTCAAATTAAAGTATAACCAGTCATTCTGTTTATGGTGGTAACATGTTGAGGTTAATGATTCTCAAAGCTACCTCACAAGTTCACATGAAATGGTTGTGAATGCGCTGCCTGATGTCTGAGACATTGTCTTATGAGAGTTTTGTGATAAGATTTTGGCCTAAAACTTATTTCTCAGAACACATTTATGGCAAAAAGTTACATGCAGGACGTCGTGAGGCAAAACAGTTACCAGAAAAAAAAAATTCAGATTTATCAGTATTTTACCATCATAAACATTATATCAAAACTTAGAATGGTTCACTGATGGTTTTGGATAGTAAATAAAATGGCTATATTTGTGTTCTGAACATCATGACCCCTGGTTCCTATCACCACCACTGTAACGAAATCAGAGTCGATAAGTTTCTCTCCAATGAACCACTTCACATCAGACCACTCTGAATGACTTTGCTTGCACCTCCACAATTTAATTATGCAGAAATTTTGAAAAAACTGTGGAATTCCCCTTTAAGTTCACACTGTCCAATCACTGCTGGTTGCTGGGCTATTAACACTGGGCAGAGTAATGATACAAGACATTTCGATATTGTTTTTATTTATATGGGGTGTCACCAGCAGGGCTCTGTACTATCTCAATGTCTCCACAAGGTGGGCTGATGACCACTGAAATAGAGGGTTTTACTTTTAGGGTGTTTTTACCATTTTGACCAGCAGGTGTCGTCACTGTGCGCCGTTTCAAACCAGTGAATCTTTTTTCCCCTCGAAGCTGTTGGCTAAGTTGGTCCAAAGCTTCAGAAAGCCTAGTTTATCTAATCACCAGGTTAAAAGCTTGGCCACATTCAGCTCCTGCCATTTTACCTACAACCGCTGCTTCCAGGTCTAGACAGCTTGTGGAACATACTTCCCAGCTCCAGTCTCACTGAAGAAAGTACCAAAAGAGGAATCTGCCAATGAGGGTGCTGCCAGCACTGATCATCCCATCAGGCTGGATGCCATGCTCCAGACAGTACAGCTCCCAGCAGGAGTTACCCATCTGGACACCGGCTTGGCCGATGTGTACAGAGATGCACTCCCTCTGTGGAGCAGAAAGTAATTACAGCTGCAGAAAAAGTGTAATACTTAGAAAGAAAGTAGGCTGCCATTTACACCATGTCCAAATCTCATGACAAACAGGCTAATAGATATGTTACATATTGCAGCTGTTGGAACAAAACCTCGTATATCCATTTTTGTCTTTTTTTCCATTTTTGACAAAATTTGAAATTGCCTGTTGCTCTTTACGTTGCGTGTAAATTGTATGATGGATGGACTAAATAGAATGGAAAAAATATCTGGTTCCATTGACTTACATCAAAATTAAAGTATGTTTTTTCCTTCTTCTGTAAAGTTATTATTTTGGAGATACAAGGTGTTCTGACAAATATATATATATATATATATATATATATATATATATATATATATATATATGCAACATAATTTGTCACACAAATGATATATGGTTAGTATTTGTAGAACACTGACCAACTGCATGTTTCATTATTAAGAGATCAAAATTAGTCCTGTTTAACTGGATTTAGTGCAGCACAGTACGTGAAATATTGAATAAACATCACTGTGTTCATAGTTTTTGTCTGGTTCTATTTTCTTAGTTCGAATTGATCAGATGTCTAAATATTGTCACACATCATGTATCATGAAAATTTCTCAAAATATCACTTTTTTTTTGCTGTAATGCCCACCTCTAACACTCTCACACACACACACACACACACACAAATACACTGCATGTACATCCACACATATATACACAATGTCATTAAATATAATTATAATTATGTAATGTATGTCTATACACAATGTATATACTGTAATATGAGAAAAAAACTATTAATGTATGTACTACAAATGTAACCTTATCAGTCTAAATCTGTCATATTCAGTCTAAATTACACACACAGACGAAGCTGTTGTTGTCCTAATAAACCTGAATGTGCACTAAAAACAACCTCATGATGTTCAAAGGTTGTGAAATCCAGTTCTAGGTTAGAGATTAAGGATTATTCTCACAATGGGGCTTTCACATATTTTCCCAGATTAGGTTTACTCTCTTTAATCCCATCTTTAATGTTAATGTTAATTAAATGTGCAAAGATCATCATCTATCAAAGAATATTAAATTCATACCCATCTGCTGTTTGCAGAGTCATCAACACCGGCGCTAAATGATGTCTCTATTAAACCTCTGCATCTTCACATGTGCTGTTTTTATTTGCATTCAGGTTGTGTGCTGGTCATCTAAGGTCAGAGTCAGAAACCTAGAGCAGCAGACCTATGAGACAGTGTCCTGCTGCAGGCCTCATATTCACTGTAACACACTGGCCTGACTCATTTTTGTTGAGCTGTATTTTTTTTGATACTGTAAACAAGTCCTGGGCTTCCCATCTGAGTGGGTGCGCTGCGTGTCTGAAGGAGAAGCAGGGTGTGCCGTGAGAGGTGCGTGGGGCGGACTGCTCAGATGGAGTGGGAGTGAGCGGTGCGTTTGATGTGGTGAGAGAAGAACCACAGTTCAGCTACAATATTTAAAACACTGTGAACCGTGAGAGGCGAGAGAGATCTCTGCAGTGGGAATACATCCATTTGACTGGGGTGAGGGTGAAGGCCTGAGTCCAGTCTTCAGCGTAAATGATGTAAGTTTAATTGACTTGACTTTCAAACATGCATTTTTTTCTGTCTGAGAATATTTTTCTTTATTTGCTTGCTTATGAAAATAATGTTGGTAGTAGAAACACAGAAGTCTCTCATCTTTAAGCTCAAGAATCCATGATTCCTTAGGCTTTTGTTCATATTGTAGCAGTGACAGATAAAGAAACCCACCTCCCAACACAGAACACAATAAACACATACACCGATCAGGCATAACATCATGACCACCTCCTTGTTTCTACGCTCATTGGCCATTTTATCAGCTCCACTTACTGTATAGGTGCACTTTGTAGTTCTACAGTTACAGACTGTAGTCCATCTGTTTCTCTGCATACTTTGTTAGCCCCCTTTTACCCTGTTCTTCAGTGGTCAGGACCCCCATGGACCCTCACAGAGCAGGTACTATTTGGGTGGTGGATCATTCTCAGCTCTGCAGTAACACTGACGTGGTGGTGGTGTGTTAGTGTGTGTTGTGCTGGTTTGAGTGGATCAGACACAGCAGTGCTGCTGGAGTTTTTAAACACTGTGTCCACTCACTGTCCACTCTATTAGACACTCCTGCGTTGTTGGTCCACCTTGTAGATGTAAAGTCAGAGACGATAGCTCATCTGCTGCTGCACAGTTTGTGTTGGTCATCCTCTAGTCCTTCATCAGTGGTCACAGGACGCTGCCCACAGGACGCTGTTGGCTGGATATTTTTGGTTGGTGGACTATTCTCAGTCCAGCAGTGACACTGAGGTGTTTAAAAACTCCAGCAGCACTGCTGTGTCTGATCCACTCAGACCAGCGCAACACACACTAACACACCACCATCAGATCATTGTCGATGCAGTGCTGAGAATGATCCACCCCTCAAATAGCACCTGCGCTGTGAGGGTCCAAATACATTTAAATTTTATTTAAAAATATATTAAACAAATATATTTTTGGGCCGTTTTCATACACTGCAAAAAATGTTTGATAAATACATTTGGAATATATATTTTTCTTTATGGGTAAATATGACAAATGTTACTGTTGTGAACTAAAACTTCATATTCAGGTCAAGTCCATTGATTGGTCTGGCAAATTTGGCCTGCATCACTGACAAAAAAAGTCAAATTATTTATTATAAAAGCAAATTATTTCTCTTTTTGATTATATGGAATTCATCTATGATGGATAAATGGCTAAAAAGCAATGCAAAGTTTTGTCATGACATTAAGTGTATATCTGCTAATCATTGCAGTAGAAGTCTGGCCAAAGTGCTTTAAACAATACTGATCCATGTCCACCTGATTTTGTCAAACTCACAAGGTGCAATGCAAGTCCTACATTCTGCACTCTGTGAGAAACTAATACTAACAGAAACGTGTTTGGAGAAATGAAAGGACATACCAACAAGAGGTAGTTTGCTCTGCTTGGAGAGGTACAGAGAGGAAAAGGCTGGCTGGGCCTTCCCACAGGAGAAGGAGAGAGAGTCAGGTTACTGCCGAACAGGTGCCGCTAGCGCTCCTGTGCAGCCAGAGACTGGGGTGAAAGGGGGCAGGCAAGAATCACATTCTCTCTCTGCTGAGGGGTGACTGAGTCTGTTGGACATGGGCAGCAGAATAACTGCTTTGCAGATGATTTCATGCTATGAGGGGATTTACAGCAGAATTGTCCCAGCCCAGACATGAGTCATGAAGGTGGGTCTGGAGG